ACATCGAGGCCCTGTTTCTAATTCATCCGTGGGATAGTATGAATAAATCTTCATTTGTAGAGACGGGGAATCCTTACTAGGATCATTCAAAAATTCACGAGAAACGTGCTCTACGTTTCGATCAGTGCGAGGCGAGTGAACCGCATAAACAGCGCTAAGCGCATCCCTGGGAAATCGGCTGGGTACGATTCAGCGAATTAGGTATTTTCGCATTTAGAAACGAATTGGCATTCCTCTTTTTCAGGGCGGTGCAACCTTCGATCACGTCAAGTTCCTTCCAGTTAACTGACTGATGAATACAACGTGTTCCAATTCCTTAAGATTGAAGAAACAGGCATCATTACAAGACTTGACTTTGCGCTGGACTTCGAACTAAGCATTCGTCTCTACTGCAAAATAAAACGGGTATTTGGATGACAAACCTGATCTATTTTTAACCAGAGTGGAAAAGTGTGGTATGTCCTTCTTTTCAATGCGATGCATTGAAAAGTTTTCCTGGGACGCTTGCGAACTTGTTAATTTTCTAAATATACCCGAATGCGGAGTTATCGCATACTGTAATGTGCATATCTAGAATAAAACTGTCATACGTTTTAGCCTGATGCGCGACCTTGAGTTGTTCCTAAAAAAAAATTTTAAAGCGTACATCAAATCAAGCCTTCTTTTAAGCAACTAGTTGGTGGTGTTCGAGCATAGGGTGCACCCTGATTTTTGGCAACAGTTTTCGGAAAGAATAGTCGTAGAAACAAATTCAGGATAATTCCTGAATAAAGGAAAAAGATTTGCGCTCGGTCTTTCAACTTTCAAGCAGCAGATTATCCTGCATCGGAATAGCTGTCCATGATGCCGTTGTCAACTGAAAGATATTGGATATTTTCGTAATTTTATATCTAACATGTGGTTTCCCACATATAGGGAATCGAGAAAGTTCTGGCCCATCATCTCTGACATGGGACGTAGTATAGTTGTAGTACAGCATTCAGTTTCGCCGAAACATTGAGATAGCAAGGCTGCACCCGAATTCATGGGCGTAGTTCCTGGAGGGTTCCGCGTGTATAATCGAATCGATAAGGAGTTCGATAGTTACTCTTTTGCGCTGATAGTTTTCGGGGCTCAGTTCAGTGGATGGCATTCGCTGCAAGTGAATCAAGAGTTGATTAGATACGCGAAGACAAGAGCATCGCGAGAAGGATTGAAGAATAATATGGCATTCCGGGGGCAGCACGGGTTGGTCAAGCGACGCACGTCCGCGAATGACGATGCACGAGAGCTGTCGGAGGCCCCCCGAATCAAGAATTTATGGACGATCGTTCCCTGCGCGGTTTGACAGTGATCATGAAAATTTCAGCCGCGTCGGGCCCGCAGACTCACCGGGAAAGCTCCACAGCCACGGGAAGGAATAGCACAAGAAGGAGCCGAAGCGGCGCGCCAGCAAGTTCGCCGAACGCGGTCCGCCGGGATGCTCTCATCGCGTCCGCAACTTCCCGGATAGCTTTCTGCGCCTAGTTACCCAATTTCCGATGACCGTGAGTACTCATTACGTCATCTTATGAACAATGTTTCTGTCGACGACAAGCGATTCATCAGCGCGGGGAACGAAAGAAAGTAATTAAATGAATCCTGGGTGGGTTCCCCGAACGCCTGATGCCTAGAGAAAATGCACTGGAAGCACGCCTGCACTTGATCACACCGCTTCGAATGACACGGGGTCCGGAACTAGCTGGCAGAAAATAACGCGGGAGTCGGAGAACCATCTTGCATGATCGCAACACCACCGCGCCGACATTGATAAATTAAGCCACGTTGCCAGGGATCATAAAAATGAGTTTATTAGCCCAGAGACACCGTTCAGGCGAGCATTGTGTAACTAATTCTTTCCGATGGGGATTTCTTGGAAGGCTTTGGTTGGGCATGCAGCTTACAGAATGGAAATTCATTTAGGCTGCTCGTGAGGTAGAATGCCATAAATGGTCCCATCTCGGGTCACACGTATCAAGTTTATCTTCTGATACTGACACGAGCATCAACTACACACAGGAGAAGCTGTACTTCGCCTACAGAGACTCACTTCGCCCTTTTCTCATACCCCGCTAGATTTGGGTTCAATTTACTGCCTCGTCACAATGAGCGTCAATGCATCACTTATTCAGTGGAGGGTGGCTGCCGTATATCTTGAAAACTAATCCATTCATGAAATTCCCGAGGGTACCTGGTACCAATGCTTGGGCACGTTTACGGCAACTGAAGACAAAGGCTTACGTATTTATCTTTCAAATCCATCTCATTTCGTTATGGAAATAGCTACATTATCAATCCGGAAGAATAATTGCTGGAAGCATATTTATTTTCGTGCAGCTGATGATTAAAATTAAATCTCACTTCACTTATAGTAAGCTACAGTAGTAAGCACGTGAAGTATACATTATTCCTCGTACAGCACGAAGGCGAGGAACCGGATTTTCGAAGAAACTCAAATCTCGATAAATGTGTGGAAAATGAAGTTCGGATATTTTATGGAGAATCCATTTCGATATCACAGATGCAAGGCTGAATTTTATAGCTTCTACTTACATACAAAAAGTCCCGAGCCATCAGATTTTTTCGCTTCTAATGGGAGACTAAAAAAAATACATGAATAACCCCATGTTTGGAATCTTGCTTGCAGCGCGAACAAGATGAACTAAGGGGCTAAATATTTCTAAAAAAATAAAAATGTCACCGCTACCGAACACGGCCCGAGCACTCGCACTGTTCCCACAGCGTTACACATTTTTCTCGAAGTAAAATTTATTGAACATGTCAACCGTCGTATCGAATCTACTTCGCCATCGAATCTCCGAATCTGCTCAAAAAACGCTACATTTCTCGGCCATTCTCGAACTTAGAAGCTCAAATCTCCGGGACATGAAAAACCACCTCGAAAAGTTTTCGTACTTGCGAATCACGCAGCGTTTGGCTGTCCAATGCATTTTGACCCATAATAAAATGTTTCAATCGGCAAATGTTTATGCCTATCGCAACCCTGATCGTTGAATTGCGGAGAACACAAGAAAATATCGCCAGTGATTTCGAAATTGCATTATCAAAAAGTCTACCAGTCGATGGAAGTCTAAAAGATAAACGAAATTACTTGAGTCAGTATTATTGCAAACCTCGGAATTCCGGTTCAGGACGGTTCGAAGTTTCAACTCAAATAAATTCTCTTGGGATTATGTTCAGATTTACAGCGGTTGAGTCATGTCTGAGCTTCGTGAAGGCAACTGGAAAAAATGGCAAGCGAGTGAATATTGTATCAATACGCATAGCACTTGCAATACGTTGAACCCAGTCCCGCTACCGTCGGGGTGCAGGAAAGAAATCGGCAGTCTGACCTAGCCCACAGGCCATATAAGAGGAGAATTCCAGAAAGGTGCCGCGGACCCGCGTCGCGCCTTCGGGTAACGCAGCATGATGCCACGCAGACGGCGCAGAAGCGGAGAGCTGAAAATCGGGTTGGAAATGAAATTTCAGATTTCCGTTCATCCCGCCGTACTTCAGCAAACATTTCTTTGACATACTAATATCTTGGAGGCGGAAAAAGGAAATCGACCTAAATCTCATTCTTATTTTCTGGCTCTAGACCAAGCTTCCCGCGGGAATATGCTTGCGTACCTTGACGATAGGGATTTCCTCCTCCCCTCCCAATTAAAAACAACGGCAGAAATACGTTTTTCGGATTTGTTCGTTCTCTGCTGGGATTGAAGTTGGCCGCAACGATACGCTACTATCTGGAGGCGTCTAATTCTTCAAATTTGTTCAAAGATATCAGCAGCATAAAATTCCAGAATTTTATTGCAGGAATAACTAGAATATTGTGCAGCCAACTTGAATTTATTTCCAAAAGCGATTCTGTGATGCGTTGCCCGCATCACAGAATCTATGATTGGTTTCTACCTCCCAGCCGTCGCTTTTAGGGTTCATCTCTTTCAGAATTTGAAGAATCAACTTTGAAATCGTTCCAAAACCATTCATCCGGCCTGAAACGTGTCGTACCTGACAACGAAGCCAATTTCGTGGCGGTTGCGAAATTTCAAGCGCATGATCACATGCAGGAAAGCACGGTACCCGACATTATATTAGAATTTTGGTATATTTTTAGCTAGTGCAAGTACTGAAGGACGGGATCTTGAAGCCGGCTTTCTGCCTGTTTCTGTTGCATGCGGGGTCGTCACCGCGCTGAAGCTTTTGTGCAGAATTTATATCATGTGTAGGAGAAATAGCCTATAAGTTATGCCAACGTTGTGCTTGCCTTCTTGGAGTCTTCTTAACTGGATGTAGAGGCTCGTAAGTTTTTGCGAAGTAACTGCCAAAAATTTCCAGAAAACCGTGCCAATTTTTGCCTAACCACGTTTCAGTAGGGATAATAGATATAGCGCGTGAATATACGTCCCAACACTATAGGGAAATCAGGGCTACGTGTCAGACCAATGTTTTATGGATTTAAATTCAGTCATAGGCGAAACAATTCCAAACAATTTAAATACCGTTTCAGTAGAATTTCCCAGATCTGGATTCCATTCCCCACCACTCCATTCGAACGTTTTGCGTCCATGGATTTTGTTTTAACCAAAGTCGAAGAACCGAAATATTGTAGAAAGGGCTTATTTGATTGTCCTGTTTTTAATTCACAATGGTTCGAAGCTGTAATAAATTCTGGCTTGGTAACTTATGTTCCTGAATAAATTCATTCGAAGGCACTGCAAATATTCTTGGACCTTCCAAAGATTTAAAGAAGTATGAAATTAAGCTATGCAACATAATATTTTATTAAAGTTTGGGTTAAACTCCCAGTGCTTTATTCGCATGGCACGTAGGATCTTTTTATAGTTCATCGTACATCAAAAACGTTCACGGTATTTAATCGTTCAATCCTACGTTCCGCGTGGGTGGATGCGCTAATTTCTGCAAAGGAAAATCGAGAGAATCCATTCTTTTGTTAATGCAACGTGTGAGGCGAAAAATTGTTCGCATTCGCTTCCTCAGGAAAGCAACTAAGATTCTTTATTTTTCGCTACTGCACATTGAGCAAACAAAAAGCCAAGCTCACATCGCGCATCTCACTTCGGGCTCGAAGTCTCTGCACTCGAGGTGGAGAAACGAAACAAAAAAAAACTAGATGCGCTCCGTGCGCAGAAACCACACCAGCTCGCTCAACAGAGTAATTTTTCGCGAGGAAACCACAGAATCAGGTACTCTTTCAACATCGAAAAAGTCGCAAGACGCATTGCATCATTCGATGGTCGAGCGGAGGTTAGTGGAGCAAACTGGCGGGTGAGTTGAGAATTTTCTTTTCAACACAAGCGAAAACTGTCGCTTCCCGGCTAGCATAAAGTCGTGTGCGGGTCATAAAAAAAGGAAAAGCAAAACACTTGTCAAACTGACGGCTTCTCCTCCATACAGAAACTCCTAAACGCAAACTACTGAACAGAATGAAAATTCTAGTCGAAGCGATCGTTCAAAAACTCGTTCGCGAGCAAGCAATAGATGTCGACTCGTAAATCCTTCGCGCATTAGAGCAGAAAATGCGGATCAAGGTTAGCAGCTGCAATCACGAAACAATCATAGTTGGCATTCACGAGTGCTTTGTCTTTATCTCTCCGCGCACGGGAAGCTGTGTCCACAGCTTGTTCCGCCCTAGAACGACTTGAAGAGCCGCGGAGGAGGAGTAATGCTTTCTTGAAAACAATTTCCGTGCGATGTGGCAAAGACTGCATAAAAATAATTTGTGGAACGATCTTCATTGCGACTGCGAGAGGATGCGTCCCCGAAGTTACATCAAGATTGCATCACATGCTCTGAGTCCGACACACCCAGAAGCGGCAAAGGCCGGTTTTTCGGGCATTTGCTGATTCGACCCGAGGCCTCTCTGAATCGCAAGAAAACTAGTTAATCCCAACGCAATACCCGTGAACATTTAGTCTAGCTTTTCTACTCTCGTGCAGTTCGACGGGACACGCGGAAATATTTGAGTGGAGTGTCCTTTTCCTCATTGATGCATGGAACGGTGTGCGTAGCGTGTGGGCGGTGCGCTGCTGTTTCATTTGAACAGTTGTCGCGAGTAGTACCAGATACGGAAGAAGTACTCGTCGCGTCGCAGCAGCGAGCATTTCGCGTATGACCGGATATCCGCGTCCATACTGTTCTCACGCATCCAGGACGACGGTGTCTCCGTGCTGAAGCTCAGCGATGGTGTGTCTTTCTCGAGGTCTGCCTCGGCCTCTTCGTCGACGGGATCTGCGGAAAAAGGACAAGGATTAATTGGTGCCAAGTAAAAAGTTTGCCAAGTATTACCGGAAGGGCGGTAAATCCGCTGTGGTTCCTCCGACTCCAGAGCCTCGCTGAGGCCAATCTCGTTCCGGGCAAATACGCGGAAAAGGTACGAGCGGCTTTCCTGGAGAAACGATCATCAAAAACAAGGATGAGACAAGTGCTGGTCCGTTTTCCCAGTCGCGCGTCGAACCCTCCACTGCATCCCAACTCCAGCCTTTTGCGAGGCGTGAAGCGCAACAATCCGGATTATATATATATATATATATATATATATATATATATATATACGGTATACACATACTGATTTTTTAATGTAGCAACTCTTCAGAAGCGCTGGGGGATTCACGGTACTGTAAAAAAAGGTCGCCGAATTTTCTTCTACATTGATTACCTGACGAAGGAAGATGAGTTCGACCTGATTGCCGAAATAGAGAAGAGTTTTTGAACCAGAGGTACACATACAAGTTGGTTCGCTAGCACGTTTCACGAAATCTTTCTGGCATAGTTGCAGACTTTTCAAAAAGTGGTAAATTGGTACAAAAACTGGAAGGAAGGGAATGAAAATTTCCCCAGAAGAGATTCTGAAGAAGGACAGGCAAAAAGTTCGAGAAATTTTATTGGGCAAAAGGATTTAGAAAGCCCAGTCGAGAGTTTAGCGAAAATCTGAATGAAAAGTATTTGCGGAATCTTTCATGTGCGTACGAAAATGTCTAGCAAATCACAGTTCATACACACAAGATGGTACGCAAGTACTGCCATGTTTTGAAAGTGGTAAATTGTTTTAAAAAGGCAGAGAACTGGCCCTTCCTAGGAAACTCCCAACTATTAAAGCTGAAATAACTGACACATGAACGATTCTTGCGAAATGTAATCAACACAAAGTTATCTATCTTATTATTGGAGTCTAAATAATCTTAACGAAACAATAGTTTAATTGATCAATGAATGTAAATTTTGTGTCGAGCTGATGCAAAATTTTATATACAGCATCAATACTACAGTACCAATAGCAAATGCTTTTTTCGCGTGGTTCAACGTATAGTAGACGCTGAGGAGTGGTATACAAGTGCACCCAGAAGAATCACATTGCGTCGAACATACACATAGACTGAGCATCATAACAAACGATTTGCGCAGTGAATGTGGTTGATCGCAGAAACATTTCCTGCACAGCAATCCATGACCCTCATAACAAAGCCCACCCGCATTTGCAATCATAAAAAAAACCTTTCGGGAAATGCCTGTGGAACCCATGGGAAATTGCGCCTAGCATAAGGAACTCCCCGCATGACAAATTCGAGGAAAGATTGGGTTCCTTATCCAGGGACCAACAGTGCACAGGTTTTCGCTTCGCTCCAACTTTGGACTGAAGTACATGGTGATTCGAAGTTCCAAACGTTAGACAAGTATAGTGTGGCATCAGTTAACATCGAGGTCGGGCACCCTTTTTCAGGCACAGTCACGTAGTGCAACAGCACCAGAGTTTTAGGTCGTCCGGTCCCTGCAGTTGCTCTATTCTGAATGTAGATTTCGTCGTCGTGCCGCGAATGGAATTGCGCGGCGACTCGCGTCAAGTGCGCTCTCCGAAGTACATACTCATTTTCTCATGCTACGCGGGAAGGTTTCGCACGCGAGGAAAGAACAGAGGGTCTACGTACCTGGAGGTCTTTGATGATGAGTTTTTGCTGGTTTGCTTGAACTTGCCCCACCTGCATCCACATGGTGCGACGGGCGTCGCGAAGAGCAATATCATAACCCTCCAGCGGGGCACCTCCGTCAGATTCCGGCTGGCCCCACTCGATGACGACGGCGTGCAACCCGCTGAGCACCACTTCCAACGGCCCGGTGGGCGGCGATGGCACAGCTGGAAATGAGAAGTTAGCAGTAAGGGCGTGAGCGAAAAAACACGTTTTTTTGCAGAAAGGACTCACTGGCCGTCGCTTTCAGTGACACGAGGTCGGTCTCAACGGCGTCGCCGAGACCAATGGGGTTTTCCGCCAGCACTCGGAAGTAATATTGGGATTTTTCTTTCAGGTTCTCAATGGTATACACGAGGTAATTCGACTCCAGCGTCACTACCCGTTCCCATTTGGTCTTCGTCGACAGCTTCTTTTCCACCACGTATCCTGATGTGGAGCGAAAAGAACCGAGTCATTTATGCCACGTTATATCATCACATTTGTCTTGGGGTTATGACGGGGAAAATTAAGCAGTATTTCTCGAGGTAATATTCTGGTGTGTAATGAAGCACGAGACAGCAACTGCTTCCACGATGCTGTACATTAACGTAAGCTGCGTTCATTTCAAGTGAAACAAATTTTGCATTCAAAAATAGTGCGCAGAAAGCGATATCAGGGGTTAATGGCGAAAAATCTAACCCGAATGTCGGGGTTTTGTCGATAGTGTCTTCGTGAATTAAATCGAAGTCCAAATTATTGATTTCCATCAGCATTAATCCAGAACACATCTTTCATATTACCTCAATCGATAGGCACACTATTTTTTATTTTTAAAAAGTCGGACCATAACTTTTGTTAGATTTATGCGTGAGAAATATCAGCATAGGCAGCACCAGGGTCTCACATACGCGGTCTTCACGTGATATTGACATCCACAATTTTCATATTCAAACGTTTAATTTCAAAAAATTCAAATAATTTCCTTTCGTCCTCTGATGGTCTTTCGAAAATTATTTTCTTTGTCAGATCTTGACCTAAACACAAATTTAGCATTATTTTCTTGTTGATTTATTACTTTTAAGAAAATCAGCAAATCAGCAGGGGTTTTCCAGGCGTTGGCCTTCACAATTTCCAATGCTCTGCGAGCATTAAAATACATTACAGTATTTATGATACATTTTCAACATCAGCTTGCGGCCTGAAGTAGAATCAATACACTGATCGAGGCGACTGCACTGCTGACTTTGTTTTAAGCAATATGAATAAGATTAAATCATCGAAAAGTATTACAGTACCAGTAATTTCTGCTCCTCCAGTCTTCGTCGGGATAGACCATTGAAGTGTGACACTTCTGCTCGTTACATCGAGGATTGTCACAGGCTCTGGTGGACCAGGAGGTGCTAAGAAACATCCAAGTAAACCAATTTAAACTGCTCAAAGGACTCCTTCTCGTGAAAAAAGCTTGTTCTAACTTACTCATCGTTTTCCCGGGTGCGAATGTGTCTTCGGGATTGTAAGGAATACCGAACCCGATTTCGTTGCGGGCAAATACCCGGAAATTATATGATGATCCTCGTTTTAGGGCAGCTACTTCGATCGACGGGTCAGTTGCCGGTGCTATGGTTCCCACTTTCTGCCAGGCCTTTTTGCCGACTTCCCTCCTCTCCACCAGGTATTCCAGAATTTCCTTACCGCCATCGCTCTCTGGTGCCTTCCATCCTATGGTTATGCTGCTTGCGGACATCTCAATAACACGGAATGGGCCGACCGGCGGACCAGGTTTATCTGAAAAGCCCATCCAAGTCCAAGTAAAACACAGCATATGTTGACGACGGGCTGCAGACGGATTGCGGCTTTTCCCTCGAATCAGGACATGTTTTCATTTGTGAAAAGATTATTCAGCATGAAAGATCAGGGCTCGCATGTGAGATGTTTTTCTTTCCCGGATGCTCGTGTCGCATAAAATTTTCATAAAAGTGCAAATTTGGACAGGCGCCTATATGCTTCGTGAAAGATTTTGCATCGAAAAGCAATACCATGAGCTACCCGAAATGAACATGCTCGCTTCTGACGTAGGAGTATTCCCATCATCAAAAGTCGTCAACACCATCATCATAGATCGGTTATTATGTTGTTTTTTCGCACATGATAACACGTTTCACTCTTGAAAAATAAACTGACTTCCGAACCTCAATAGTGTGAATATTCATCTCGGCATGCAGACTCAATAGTGTGAATATTCATCTCGGCATGCAGAAAGTCTATTCCCCGAAATAATTGCGTGGGGAGGGGGATACATACCAGTGAATACTGCTGCTCCATTACTGAATTATTCGAAAATAAGATAACTTCGACCAACCGGGAGTAAATTTATTATAATTTTAATTTCGAATAATCGAGAGTAAACAAAGCGATATATATAATATCAACATGTTGAGCTTTATTCCTGCCTTATATAGTGGATGATCGTACGTTTCGATGTACTGTAGCTTGAAGATTAATTGAGAGAAATGCTGTTACAGCACTACTATCCCTGTATACAGTATAAGGTCAGCATGCTAAATCGATTTATTTCATTTGTTCAATACTTTTCAAATATTCAGTCATCCGATATATTGGTATTGATTATCCTGGAAAAGGGAATCCTGCCGTTAGCCCTGATAATCTGAGTCACATTTTAATACGCTGTATACTTGTATAGTTCAACCAGAATCAGCTTGACGCGTAACACTCCTGCCTTTCGCACATCCTCCGGCGAAGAACAGATCAGGTTATGTAAACTAGCGTACAACAAATAATGGGTTCCATTCGAATGCAAAGCAATGTAAATCTCACCGTAAGGACTCTTCAAAATAACCGTTTCGCTCATGAGGGGATCAGAGCGGCCCACGATGTTTTCGGCAAAAATGCGGAACAAATATTCCGAACCTTCAACAAGGTCTTGTATGCAGTAGGAATTGATATCGCTCGTGACGTTTGCCACCTGGGAAATGAAATCGGTCAATATTTTCAGAAAACTTGGAATAGCTTACAGTAATCCATGCTACCTGAATCCATATTTTTCTCGCAACATCGCATTTCTCAATGGTGTATCCGATCTCAACTCCTCCGTCATCGACCGGAGGTTTCCATTCTAGCGTCACGGATTCGCTCTGCAGCGCCTTGACGACCAGAGGTCCTTCGGGAGTTCCAGGACGATCTGGACCACGGAAAAAATTGTTGCAGAGAAAGCAGCAGGGCGGAAAACAACATGCAAGACCATCAATGCTCCCCACCCGCACCACCACTAAAGCGGAGCCTGGGATACTGCCGCGTTTCCGCAATAAATTTCATCGAACATCGGTTTTTCTAAAGGAATGAAAATAGCCAGAAGAAAGCAGGAAGAAATCTCGGAATAACCGGTCTAAAACGGCCTCTAGATTAATTAGTCGGCAACGGCTGGCGCTACTCTACCAAAGTGGAAGAATAAAAATAAGGTCACGCTGCGTCTATAGAACTACCCCTATCAGCATATTCAAAAGCATGAAACACGGGTCTACGATGCTTTCCCATCGGGGCAGTTCGCCATAGCATGCTCGCCTGAACGATGTATCTGAGGTGGCGGCGAAGATGCACGTACGTATCTTGTTCTGTCGTGTGTGTCTACATGAAACGAGGTGAAATACTCGTGGATAATAGGCTGGGTGTCCGTAAATACAAGTTCCAACGAAACGAGAAACCTTCACAGATGGGATGAAGTCTGTCTCGGACAACAGGAGGGATGAAGCAGGGAAGCCAAAGAAGCGAGGTCTTTACTGCCGATGTAGCTTATGCAAAGGCACGCATTATACCCAACCAGCGTATGAAGATTTGTGAATGTTTTGTACGTATTTACCTATAAACTCGCCCGCTCCTGACGAGATGGAACTTGTCCGACTGTGGGTGTCTGCGATGAGAGAATAGAATGAAGTGTTGATGGAAAAATAATGTCGGGTCATATCGAGGGCTTGATGAGGCATGTATTTATATTCTCCGGATTCTTCGAAGGAGTGTATGCTGATATGTTCAATTCTAGCGCATTTGACTGATTAATTTCTCTTTCAGAAACCAACACGGGACCATACTTCCATGAGATTAAAAGTGCTAAGGAAACGCTGCAGAGAACAAAAAAAATCAATGCTCTCACCGATCATCTTGAGCTTAAGCTCAAGGACTGCTGATCCGGCATCGTTCGTCGCTGTCAGTGTGTACTTCCCCGCATCCTCCTTCTCGAGTTGATAGATAACGATTTCTACTTCGTTATCCTCTTCGTAGATTGCCCTGTGTTTCGTGGATTCGATTTCTGCGTCATTGTGGGTCCATACCAGTGTAGCTTTCGGGATTGCGACCACTTTGATTTTGCAACGCCACTCATCGTCCTTTTTCAAGCGTTGGGACAGAATTTCTTCCTTGTATTCGAAAGAGGGTTTCTCTGTATAAAAAAATTGATCATGAATAAACCATCCACATAAGGACTCATCCATGATGCAGCAGCCATAGTACTTTATTGTCTGCATGATGCCTTCCAATTTAAAGTTCATGTCGTAGATATATTTGAGCCTGCTGCAAGGGTACTGTAAAATATATTCAGTTGAGACGCAAAAAGTTACGGGCGAATGTTGATGTAGATTATAGAAAGTAATCGAGCTTAGCTTGATTTGGAGGAAAGATTGTCAACAAGATATGAAAGCTGCTGGCACTGGGCAGACGCTTCAGCAGATTAAGAAGGCTCAGATTGTAGTATTTTCCAACTGCTATCCTTCTTTACCCTCGAACTTTCTAGGAATTGCTGAACAAACGCAGATGTATGTCAAACGTCATGTATCAAAGAGAAACAGTGGAACACTTATTAACTCAGTACATGGGAAGATTCAGTCTTCGTAGAGAGTTGGAGTGCCTTTATGCAGTTTATGAAGATCAAGAAAACGTCCAGATGAATAGCTGATCAAGGATGTAATGTGGAAATTCGACAGAGTGAAAGATCATGAGCATTCGATCAAGAGGAAAAAATGAGCGATTCTTCTGCCGAGGATTCGAGATCAATCGAAATAGTCCTAAAAACTGTTTATCTTAGATGCTATCGGATTATAAAACGGAGATTTCAGCGCATTAGGTCTAGAAGCTGCACTTCTCAGAAGTACTGTACAGGCGTTGGGGTTTTATACTGTATTATAGCATATTGTAAATATTTTTCCGTGACAAGCATATATAGACGGTACTTTTATGAGGAATAATTAATCGAAAAACCATTTCGAAATATTCCTGGTTTTTTTCTTCTTCTGTACAAGCAAGCTCAGTTTCAGCTTGTGTATTCTTCAATGACACCTTTTTCGACTGATGTGTTGCTGGATAAGGTGGAATTCCTGGAACTAAAGAAGAGTTCTTCGTACTCAATGGAAGAAACTGTGTACCTTGGATTTTGAGCTTGCAACTGGTTTCGGCCTTGCCAGAAAGATTCACGCCTTGGCAGGTATAAGTAGCACCCGACGCCTCCGTGGTCGGGCCAACAAGCAGTGTGGCTACACACGCCTCATAAGAGGCTTTCTTCGTTTTCAAGAGTTTGCCATTTTTAAACCACTTTACTTCGGGCACCGGAATGCCAGCTATGATGCATTCAAGGTGGACTTCTTTGTTGAGACCAACAGTCACGTCGTGCAGGGGCTGCTTGATAACGGGAGGCTCGGATTTAATCGGAGCGCAAATAACGAGAGCGTCGCTTTCTATGGGCTCGCTGACACCCACTTCGTTTTCCGCCGAAACGCGGAAAATATACTCAGACGACTTTGTAAGCTCTTTCACGACACGGGTGGTGGTCGTATCGCGGGAGTTTTCTGCCCCGACCCGAATCCAACTGCCGGAAAGGGTATGGTGTGAGAAAAACTGCAACGATTGCGAAGGACTTTCACTCACGTCAAGCTTGATTTGAGGCGATATTCAAGAATATAGTTCAGGATCGGAACCCCGCCGTCGTCTTGAGGCGTTTTCCAGTGAAGAGTGACGGAATCATTCGTGAAATCTGTCCCTTGCGGCGTCCCCGGCTTGGATGGAAAGTCTGGAAGGAGGAAGAAAATATACAAATACATTTATAATATTATGCATAAGCTGCGCAACTTCAACGAGGACACCGAAATTAATCTGCGAAACTTCACCAAGGAAAACCCGTCCGCTGTCGAAACACTTTTTCGTACTCACCCAGGATTTTCACATTGAAGGACGCTGACACGTCACCCGACGTATTTTCCATCTTCAGTTTGTAAGTTCCAGCAGCTGTAGCGGAAACCTGCTTCAAAGTGAACTCAACCGTATCAGCTTGATAGGAGTATGACATGGTGTCTTTGTCGACAGTTTTATTGTCCTTCAACCAGGTAATTTCCGGTCTGCCGGGAGAACCCGTCTGAATCCGAATGGTTACGTTCAAGTCTTCACCGCGCTTTATCGTGTATTCCGATTGCAAAGATGATCGATCGATGCTTGGCGGAATGTGCGAGACTATTAAAGAAATCATTATTATTTGCATATTCTTCAAGACCCTTGAAACTTTTTTGTGTGTACCTGTTACTGTAACCTGGCACCGCGAACAAACATTCCCGACTTGGCATTCATATGTTGCCTCATCAGATGTCGCCACGTTTTGTAAAGTCAAGCGACTTGTTGCTCCTGCCGTTTCCAATTGGAACCGAGAGTCGTTCAAGTAGACGATCTTTTTCCCGTCCCTAAAATATTTCACGACGTTTCAGTCAAGGCATAAACAATATTAACAATATTTCAGCAAATCCAGCAAAAATTCAAACAGTACCAAAACACTCAATTTTTCAGCCCATCAAAAATGTCGTTGGAAAATAAAAATGCAATGCACTTGTCTTACTGAAGGCCGGAAACATATCACACAGAGTGCAACAAAACGTGCACAATTAAAAATATATATATTCTCAGGCATGAAGCAAAAGCATTAGAAAACTGCAAATGAAGACTACCTAATCATCTTTTGAATAAATAAAATTATGAGGCAAATGATGTCCTGACCATTCGAAAAAATTAATAAAATGCTAAGTTTGATCTTATTCGTTCAGTTTTTTTTTTTTACTTTTTTGGGTTCTCTATTTATTTCGAGAAACGTTTTGCACGTATTCTATTTAAAGTATAATTCATACAAATAATGCTAATTTTTGGAGAACCCCATAAGCAACGATTTGCCGCGCGAATCTGAGAAAACATCAAGGCTAACACGCAAACTGATAATTCAAAATTGGATATTGGTGCTAATAAGTATGGCGGTTGGCTATGCGGGTACTCAATACCGAAGTTTCTGAAAAGTGAATCGTTAATTACCTGAGCCATGTCATTTCTGGTACCTCCGCGGATATTTCGACATCGAGGGTCAGGACTTGACCGCTGGGGATTGTCAGCCTCTTCGGCAACATTTTGACGAATTTCGCCAATGGCTCTAGAAGCAGATGGGGAAATTTACGTGGTGCTGTTGCTCACAGTTCACTTTATTTTCAGGGCGCCTTTATTGCATTTACCTTCCACGAGAAGCTTTGCTGTGCACCGCTTTTCACCAAGCTTACAGGTGTATTCAGCAGCATCGTCCAAGGTCGTATTCGCTATGATCAGCTTTTGCACTTTCCCGTCGATAACATTCTGTATCCTCTCAGACATGCTGATTTCCTTCCCGTTTTTCAACCACTTCGCAGTGGCATCGCCCTTAGAGGAAAGTATTTCAAATTGAACGGTTTCTCCGCGAGCTACAGTTTGGTCATCGATGGATTTCAGAAAATCTGGCGGCAACTCTGAAAAGTCAATTCATTAATGGAGAATACCCGAGGCAGCCAAAGGTTTCTAGTTTCTAGACCAATGGTCCACCCTAATCACACGCACCGATGACGGTCAGTTCAGCAGTTGTTTCATGCTCTCCGAGCACACAAGTATATTCCCCTTCGTCGTGGACACTCGCGGATCTAATAATAAGTGTCCGATCGATACCGGAAGAGATGACTTCGTACTTCTCAGAATTTCCGTCGGGAATTCTCTCGCCGTCCTACTCCAAGATTGAAAGAAAATGTTTGGCCATTAGAGGCTGGCTCAATGGCCAGTCAGCGATATACTCAACCGAAAGCAAGAAAAGTGGTCGTGAACGATCCAGAAAACTAATTAGTTTGATATAAATTAGTCATTTTCCGTCAAAGTAGCACATGAGGAGTAGGATTGCACTCAGAAAGAAACGACGGTAATGGAGAAAAAGTTGTAAATATGCACGCGCTGCTGTATAGACCCAGAAAACATGAATGAAATATTTCAGAAACTTATTACCGCTTCTGAAAAACTTGCGTCAAATAAAAGAAAAACTTGTATATGAAAGAAAGGAAACAATTTGGAACATCTGGGCACCACGAGTGTTTGACGTCTGGGACAGAAAAGGGAAAACTTTCGCAAATTTGCTAGTGCACTCCTGGCTTTCGCATGGGAAACTGGAGGACACTTGATACATACTCAAATACAGCAATGATTATTGTCCATATAAAGAAATCATATTTTTGGAATTATTTTGCCGCTCTATTCGTTCGTTTTATTTACAGTAAATGTTACCCTCTAGATTTTATGAGTCACTCGGAGAAACTGAAACATAATAAAAATCCATTCTCTACTTTCCCAAGCGCCAAAGACTTGCTATTGTTGGGATGCATGCCATCGTTTTCCCTCTTCTTTCACAGTGTTCCAACTTTCTTTTAAAATTGTAATGATAACATTAACATAAGGCCCCGAAATGTCCACGCTTTGTGACGCTATAGATGAGCGTGGGTAAGCCAGGCATTTTTAGTTTAATATCATGCTGTACTTGCCTTGTGCCACGTCACATCTGCTGTTGGAGTCGTGACTTGCAATGTGAACGTAGCTGTTTGTGTTTCCTTCACCTCCATGTCGTGAAGTTTGTGTAAGAAATCTGGCCCATGGTCTAGAAGAAAGATAATCAGAATATTTTCGCTATGATTTTCCTCCTTTTTGTTTCCCTGTCAATACTGTAACGGTATACCTGCAACATGCAGCGTAGCCTCAGTAGTGTCGTGATCCGTGGAGCACCGGTAGTAGCCAGTGTCTTCTTTCGTTACATCTCTGATGACTAAGCGATGCAACGTCGATGTCAAGGTTGTGACGTCATACTTGGCTGATGATTCAATCGTCACTTCTTCTTGATCGATGACATGAACCCACCGAACTTTAGCCGGTTGATTTGTCTCGCATTCGAGCTGAATTTCGCAGCCCTCCTCGACGTTTATGTCGTGCAGGGGTTCGACAAACCTAGAGGGTCGAATATGATGGAAGTTTTGAAGCGCCATGGGGTTTGTTATCCTTGTGTAAACTTTCCACTCACCGAACAGGTTCGTCAGTATTCACACTCGCCCTGTGGGATGCTTTTCCGATTGAATTTTCGGCGTGAATGGTATATTCCCCGACATCCATTTCCGGTACAAATTTGGAGATTTTGAGCAAGTACTTACTTCCTTTCGTGACGCTTTTGACGCGCGCATCAGATTTGATATGAGTGCCATTCCTGTGGAATTCGGAGTCATGTCATGCGAATTTCTGGAAAATTATGTTTCCCTTCAGCTGGTTACGCGACTCACCGTTGCCACGTAACCTTGGGCTTCGGACTTCCTATCACGGTGGCTTCAAGTATCACAGCTTCGTCTTTCTTCACGGTAATATCACCAAATGCGTTTGTGATTTTAGGAAGCGATTGCTCGTCTTCGGCTGGTTTAATTTTGAGCTCTGCCGAACATTCTACCGAGCCAGCAGCGTTTTCTGCTTTTAGGGTATACATCCCGACTTCAGCAGATGTCACTTGGTATATGCTCAACAAGTATTTATTCCCCTCAACGGTTGTGCGGAAGCGAGCATCACTCAACACCTGCCCATTTCTGCTCCAAGTTATGGTTGGCTGAGGGACTCCACCAATCCTGGCTGTTAAATTTGTTGATTGGTTTGCTTCGACTTCAACCTGCTCCAGGGGTTCAATGATTGACGGAGGCTCACGAGGCTACGAAAATATGCAACCATTTATATCCGCGAAACTTTACTTTGTCTCTCATGATTGGGTAGGGAGTAATGTTTTGTAAGGTATGTTGTCAGGTGAATGTTTCGTTCATCTCACCTCGACTGTGACTGTAACTGTTGTAGATGCTTCTCCTTCCCGATTTTTGGCAATAATTTCGTAAGTTCCTGCCTGTGAGCGTGTTGCTTTTTTAAGCGTAACAATGTGAGAATACATGTGAACGTCGGTCTGTTGCGAAACCACGACATTTTCTGCTGTCTTCAATTCCTTGCCGTTGAAGAGCCAGGTTATTTCTGGTTCGGGTACAGCAATCAGGCGGAATTCCAATTTCACTTCTGAACCTTCCTCTACTACACGTATTCGAGGCTTTGCAGCAAATGTTGGGGGTATTCCTTCTAGCAAGTCAACCAAACTCGATTCCCTGCAAAAAGGGAAACTCAAAGCCTTGTTATTGTTTCCCTGTGTTTCATGGAAAAATAAAAATATTACCTTGACAAACTTCGGCGCGTCACTCCTCCAGTTTCAGATCCATGATCGGAAAGAGGAGCTTCAACTGTTAACTGTGCTGAACACGTTGAATGCCCGGCAGAGTTTTTGGCTACCACTGTTATCAGGCCAGCATCTTCTGGAAATACCTCTCGGATGATCAATGTAGCCACATTGTCTTCATCATGGAAAATCTGGGTAAGCAAGTTGCATTCTTATATTTCTGACGCGTTCAGGATTGTCGACCTGTACTTACTTGAAAGTCATACGATTGTTTGATGATGGCCGTTTGACGAAACCATGTGATGAGGGGTCTTGGATTTCCCTCGACTCTACACTCAAATTGAACTGTGGCCCCGTCTGGAACACTTTGAGATTGAATCTCTTGGATGAATTTCGGAATTTTTTGTGGTTCTTCGGGATGTGAGCCTAATAAAAAATACAGAGCAATATAGTTTGTTTTCAGAATTGGGGGAGACGACGCTTTCGATGATAATGGAAAAATGTAAAAATTTCTCGGAAAAATACCTTCTAGAACAGGGAGCTTGGCAATCTTATCATTTATCTTCTTGTTGACGAATAAGGTGTACGACGCCTCATCCTTAAGATATTTCGCTGGCGCCCAACCGGCCTCCTCTGTCAGATGTTTCCGCACAAACCACCAGTCAATGTGGGTTGATTCTGTCAATAAACCAGATTCATGAGTTTTTGCTCGCCTATAGTGGAATCAGTTGACGTACCGATGATATATACTCGTTCTCCCTCCACCAAATTGAGAACATCATCAGATTCTGCTACATATGTAGCAACGGCTTGCCCGGTTTCGCCTGCTTTCGGTTCCCATATCACCAAGTGTTCCACGTCCTCAACCAGTTCTTCAATAACTGATGAATTTGGTATTTCAATCAGTAGAATAATACAATAAAAACACACATATTTTGTACCCACCTTCCACAGAGGGTGCTGGAATGCTCGGAAGAACGAGACGTAGTTCCATGGAGTCTTCCAGAAGTGATGGAATGAAATCTTTTCTTTGTTTCATAGACAACTGGAATGATTCAGAAGTGTCCAGTCCTCCAGCGGGTGGTTCAGGTGATGGTAGAGCGAAGGTAGCTTCTCCTTCCGTGAAAGAATCTGGAGTTGATGTTACTGCCCTTGGTGCAGTTGCTGAGATTTCCATGTCCTCAACTATATAGTTCTTCTGCTTCTTCTTCAAAGTAATATTGAATTGCTCCTGAGACTTCTCTCTCATGCTCAGTTCCGCGGTAGCTTCTTCATTTAATTTTTCAGACTGTGAAGATTTCCGCCGCAATGTGATTACTTGGACAGTTTCAGTAGATTCAGGTTGTTCTTCTTGAGACATTCTCTGAAGAGTGAATGTCTCTTCGACTGCAGAATCTTGTGTCACACCCTTTGTTCGATATTTCAAGGTGGCTTGTACTTCAATGTCTTCGCTGGTTTTGACGAGTGTTTTATGTGTAGTAGCTTCTGCTTCTGATGTTTGTTGTATGATCATTTTTTTCTTGGTGCGTTTTTGTTTTTGTGTCTGAAGGGTCTCCAAATCGGTCTGCTCGGATACAGGTTCGGGGCATAAACTTACCTCATCTGATGTATACTCCCGCACTTGAATAGGTTTTGGTAACGTGGTGATTGTCTCGTCCGTAGTTTCTTCCACAGTGACTTCTTCTTTTTCTACTGGCTTCAAGTCAACAGTCTCCAACGTCATTTGCTCAATAACCTTGTCTGCTCGCTTTGTTGGCCTCAGTTTCAATGACAGGAAAGATGGCTCCTTTTTGCTCGGCTCAGGTGCACTGATTTTTCGTTTAGGAGCCAGTTGGACTTTCGAAGTCGTGTCAACTGCCTTGTTCTCAACTGCGTTGATTTCCTGGGCTTCTGTGGCGTGTTCATCTCTTGCTTTGGGTTGCTCTATTTGCTGGCTTCTCCCACTGATAACTTCCTCCTCAATGACCAATGCATTTGTTTCTTGCAGCGTAATTTCCTTCGTTGCTTGATCAGACTTTGCAGGAACAGAAACGCAACTTTGCACAAATTGACCTTCGTCAGGATGCAACGTTTCTGCGGATGCAATGGATTTTGTTGGGTGCAAGCCACTCTCCACAGCATGAGCTTCACTTGGAAGAGGCGAACTTGTTATGGAGGATACTTCGGGCTGAAAATCCGTGATTTCTTCCTCGCGGGCAGTAGAGACCACTGTTTTTTCTTTCTTAGTCTCCTTCTTTTTCACGGACTTTTTAGAGGCTGAAACCGCTGTAAAGGACGAATCTTGTTGGAAATTTTGGGTATTAATCTTAGCCTCATTCAATGATTCAGTTGGAGTTGTACTTTCTGTCGCAGTTTCGTGTTCGAAATCCGTGTCCTTCAAAGCAGTCGTTTCTTGTATAAGATTGTTGGATTCTGAAATATCTGCTTGTACTGGTTTGAGTTCTTGTTCAACCGTCATTGCTGCCGTAGTTTTGCATGCAACCTGCGAATCTTCCACTCGAATTTCACTCGTTTCTTTAGTTTTGGATGCGCTTTTCGTGAGTTTAACATTCACTGTCTGTGTTGACACTACTTCATCCTGCTTGGAAATGAGGACCTCCTCTTTTTCCTTTTTCCCCTCATCGCTTACTCCAGGGTGAACTTGAACATCTGGTTTGGATGATGTTGCCAATTTGGTGTGTAACGGTTCACCGACTGATACTGCAGTTTCGGCTGTTGCTGATGTACTGCTCACTGCTTGAGTGGTATCCATGAGGTTTTCAGCAGAAACTTGCACATGTTCATGTTCAGAAATTATACTCTTCAGACGTGATGGAATACCTTCTTCATGTCCAAAGTCAGTGTCCACAGGTTTCATGAATGTTTGAACCTCTCCAATTTCAAGAATTTGCATGCTGTCTGGCATAGTCTGAAACTGTTGTAGAAATTCTTTGGGTTCCTCCTTCGTTTTTAAAGATTCGGTCTCATCACTGGGTAATGACTGAGTTACTTCAATATAACAGTTTTCCGCACCTCCCACTTTTGGTGACACGTTTTCCTTGTTGTAGTGTAATGCATGGAAAGAACTCGGTGTTTCGTGGACATCAAGCTCTTCTATTTGTACACTTGCAGAAGTGAATCCTGAGCTTGTACCAGATGCTCTGACTGCCTCTGACTGAATATTTTCTTCAAAATTGTCAAATGAGTCTGAAATTTGTAACTCATTGACCTCAATGCTCAAGTGAGAATCTTGCTTTGGCAATGAATATTCATCCTGCGGTTTGAGTAATATGAGCTCTGATGGTAATTCAGAGCTTGATATTTCTGTGATGCTGAAATGTTCTTCCAAATTTTCTGTAAGTCCAGGATGGACAACCTCAGGTTCCAAATGCAATCCTGGCAAATGTGTCCCTTTCTCGCAGAAATCTGACTCAGCTACATGCAACTCATGATGTGGAACAAATGCAACATTTTGATTTTGATCTGTTTCTGGTGCTTGGGATCTCAATTCAGTTGCATGTTCAAGTGCCATGGGCCTGTCAATGTGCAATCCTGATTCAACAGCATCTGACAGTGTCATGCTTGCAATATCAGCTTCTTGTTGTTCATGAGCAATGGCTTTATAAGAATCACGAGTGGTTGTTTCCAATATTTCTATGCTTGTGGAAGGCTGACGAGATTCCTTGATTTCAATGGGTTCTGCAGGGACTCGGAATGGCTCCATGTTTGCGAGTGATTCATTTGTTTGAATCTGATAAGTTTCAATATTGAAGCCTGAGGAAGCATCGAAGGTTGGAATAACTGTGTCAGTTTCTTTCACAATTGGAACTGTGTCACTGGGAGCTTCTTCGAATCGATTTTCTGTCACACTGGCAGCAGTGAATTGGAGAGGCTCAAGGCTTTTGACGGCCAAAGTACTCTCCAATTCCATTTTCTGCAACAAGTTTGACTGTTCGAAGGACAACGTGTGTGAAACTTGTATGCTGTTCTCATTTCCAAGTAGTTGGTGACATTTCTCCTGAGGCTCAGCTCTGTGAAGGATTTGTTCGGTGTGTTCAGTTGAGCACGTTTTCATGACTATCACACCATGCATTTCCTCTGCATCTCGAATTTGTGCATCATTCAATTCAGGCTTTTGCATGTCTTTAAATGTTTCAGGTGATTCCATCAATTGTTCATCGTGCACCAGGCTTGTACTGAATGGTTCTGTCCTGGTTAAAATAGCTGCTTGTGCAGGTACATTTTCTTTGGTTGCAATTTTGCCTATTGAAGAGCATGGAGATATTTCCATGATTTCCAGTGTGTCTTGCGTTGTATGCCCCGTGAATGTTGCAAAATCGGTTTTCAGACCTGTTTGTAGCATTTCAAGTGGGGCATCATTAGAAACAATCTCTGTGATTTCAATGGTGCCGGGTGTTCGGTGTTCCATGGAAGATTTGCTTGTTTCTGTTGGGAGATCCGTAACACTCGGGAGTCCTTGTGAGAGTTCAAAAGATTCTGTCTGCAGGATATTGGCACACTGATGGGGCATTGATGTTGTCAATAAAGAACTTTCCCCTTTCAAAGGAGATGATATAATTGATGGTGTATCTTGTAGTGTAATATTTTCAGTCTGCTGCATATGATGCTGGATCGGAATGTGAATTTTAGGCTTTCTAATGTCCAAAGCTACGCTGAACCCAGGCATTTGCTCAGCTGGCTCAATGAGATTCATTTCTTCAATCTGAGTGGTTTCGCTGGGTTCTTGTAATGACAGGATCCCACCTTCAGGGAAGGGTTTCTCTGCATGATCAAGTTTTTCTGTTGAATGGACGGACCATTTTTCGGCTACATGAACTGACATCTTCATGTTTTCTTTGGTCTGAGTCATGCTGATTTGTGTTTGATTGGTTTCCTGGTGCTCTAATTGTTTCACATTCTCAACTACAATATCTTCTTGTGTGACTGGCATCATCTTGATGTCTGCTTCCAGTGATGGCCGAGGAAGTTTTTTTGGTGTAACAGGTAGGATTTCAAGATTGGATTCGACTGCAGTGAATGTTGTTGCTTCAGTTATGTTGAAATGTTCCATGGTTTCTCTGTGACCCTTGGCAGAAACCGTATCAGTATCCCGTGTATGAAATGGTGTTGCACACTCAATAATGTCGATGGTTTGGTTTTCTTGAGCAAAAGTTTTGTCCACCACCACTTTTTCAACTTTTCCTGAGGTAATGTGAATCACAGGAGAATCAACTTCCTCAAAATGTACTGTAGTGGTTTTTTCAACTGAGCCTGTTTCATGTAGAGTGACAGTCTGAACGGTTGGTATGTTTTCAGCTTGAGTTTTGATGATGGCTGCTGGTCGAATTTCTTGAATTTGGATCGCAGTTTCTGTGGTGTCATCCTCATCTTTTTGTTGCAGATTGATGGCACCAGTTGCATCAGTCTGTTTTGTCAGGCTTAAGTCACAAATTGCAGTGTGAGATAATGTTGGTTCGAAGTCGTGTTCAGTCTTGTGTGAAGACGCATCAGACATAGAGGATTGCTCAGCAGCTGTTGGTGTCCTTTCTAGAGTGATGTATGTCCTTTCTGTTGCTGTTTTTGAAGTAATGTCCGTACGTTTGCTGGTTTTAAGAGAGACTTCGACTTCTGTGTGTGATTCCGGCTCCACAAGCAGGGATGTTTCATGCAGTGGGATGGTTGTTGAAGTAAATTTCTGTTCATCTTTATCGTCGGAAATTTCTAGCGTTGCAGTTGATTTTTCCAAATTTACTTTCTCACTGGACATGGAGATGCTTGCCTCGGTATTTGAAATTTTCACGGATTTCTTTACTTTCTTCTGGACTTTCTTCTTTTCCGAAGAATGATCAAGAGAAATGGATAATTTTGATTGATCTGTTTCCTCGTTCACTTTGCGGTTATCCTGATAGAAAGTAACAGAATTCGAGGCTTCTGTCGTGTGTTCCGAAATGGACTGTAGCATTTGTGTTGCTTCGACAGTGGATTCATCCACCCTCAGGGATGTCTTACCTGGCAATTCGGATGCGCTACTAAACACTTCTTCTTTTTCTACGACATCGATTGCCAGCACGTGTTGTTTTTCCAAGTCCGTTGTTGTGTCTTGTACGTCCCCAGGTATTGATGAGGTACTGGATGTATTCAACTTGGTGGGTGCAGTCAATGGTTTCGTTTCTGCACTGGATTTGAATTTTTTCTTCATTTTTAAGTTTGCGGAACTGATGCACTCCACGCTTTGATCTTTTTCAAGTTCTGCGGGTTTTGGTGTATCTGTCAAATCATTGTCAATCTCCTGGATTGTTAGGCTCGTGCTGGATGATTTGGAGCTTTTAGTAGGTTCTTTTTCAATCTCCTCAGCAACCTCTTCAATTACGATTGGTGTATCTCCTTGTATTGGATTAGCTGCCCATTTTCGTGTCTTTTCGACCTTTTTGAGGTCAAACTCACCGTCTTCTCTCATGACTTTTGTCCAGGTAACTTCTTTCTCCATAAAGTCAGATTCCACGGTTTCTGTCGGTAGAGGCTGATCTTCCAATTCTTGAAAAGTCACAGATTCGACGTTTTTCATGGTTCTCACGACATCCCCAATGACAGAATCTGAAAAATGGGAGGAAAAGGATCAAGCCTGTGACTAATAACTTGGGGAACTTTTATTCTCACCTGAGCCAATAGAAAATTCTGCAGGAGCATCTACGAATACTTCCTTCGCCTCATGATCGGAAAAGTCTGTTGGAGCATCTGCAAAATAGTCATCAGAAGCAAACTCTTCCGTTTCCTCGGCAAAGCGGACTTTCTTGTTCTCCTCCTTTTTACCAGAAGGAGACACCCTTAAAGAACCTTTTCTTTTTATAGGTACAGAACTGACACAAACTTTGTCAGTAAGTGTTGGTGATATTCCATGCTGGGCATTGGATGCCATGGGGACATCGTTATCCTCTCGTAGTTGAACTTCTTCTCCTTGTATGACTTCAGTGACAAGAATTGGAATTGTAGACTCTCTCGGCGTGGCCTTGAGGATTTCGTTTTGTGGAAGTGGGGGAACTTGTTCCAAGCCTATGAAGTCCAAAGGAACTTCAGAGATTGATATTCCCTCTACGGTGTCTTGCAGCTGCTTTGCAACTGCAACCAATGGTTGTCTCTGGCTTAATGGCAAAGGAGCCATTTCACCTGAAAATACACGAATCACTGAAGTTAATGAACGCACAATTTAATTATTTTGAGTTAGTGACAATTCCTTAAAAATCCTCCCTCATGCAATTAAATAATTGTCAATATATTAGAAAGTTTTGGAATGGCAAAAAAACCAAACGTGTGAGCAATTCTTTTTTCAAAGGAAATTAATAAGAACAAAAATGGCTCGCATTAAAATCCTGCAAATATCAGTAATCTGCATTCAATACAAGGACGCAATCAGACATGAAAATTCAGCAGATCATGTACAATCTGTTATATCAGTTAAAATATACATTCAATCATCAAGTAGGTGAGAATCAAAAGGCTAAAATTCAAAACATGGATGTGATGTTGTTAATGACGGAAGTATGGTTTTGAAGTCCAGCATGTAAAATCAGTGTGACTCACTTGCACTGATGTGGAACTGTCCCATCTGCATGTCAGTGGCTTTTGTGTCAATACCATGTGATACTGAGATAGTATGCGTTAAAGTGTGACTTTCCAGAGAGGCTGGGGATGCTTGAATGGTGAAACATATGTCCGCATCAACATGCCCAGTTGTCTCAAACTCTGCCTCAATAGACGACAGTTGAAAGGACTGAGAAAAAGTTTTGTCTACCGAGTCTTCTGCCGTGAAACTCCGAACCTCATTTGAAATATTTTCTACTCCTTTGAAAACTTCCATGAATGAAACCAATTCAGATTTGTGAATGCTTGAAAGAGCAGCTTCTGTTTCAGAAACAAACACTTGAAGTGGTAAGATGTTTTCGCGTGATTCATCTGCGCATGTAGTTGTGATCGGCTGCTGCTGCATTTTAATATCTTTCAATGGCATAATTTCATTTGACACTGCATCCAAGAGAACGCCAGCTTGCTTTTCAACTGATACAGTGATTTTTCTGGGTGAGACGCTGGAAATTGTATCCCCTGCTGGCAATGCACTTTCAGTTTCAAAATCTTCAACAAGACATTCATTTGCAGTTGGTCTCGGGAGGATGTGAGTATATTCTCTTGCATGGGCACTTGATCGTTCTGCCCTGACATCAAATGGAAGTCCAGTCCCCTCCAGAGAAACACTTTCTGCTATGAGAGGCATTTTTTGGGAAAGGGCATCAAGGGATACTGAAGGCTGAGACGGTTCCAAGCTTTCTCCCATGAAAGATGGAACAAGCTGAGATTCAAATACTTCACCGCTTTTCTCAGCAAGATCTGCACTTATCACACGTACTCTTTTAACTGGATTTCCATGAGACAATATTTCTGTACTTTCCAGCTCTTGCATCTCTGTGGAAATTTTCTCATTGAGCGGAGAAAGAATTTCTTTCGCCATGTGTCGAGTCGCAGTAAAGAGCTGGTTTTCTTTTGTGGTCTCAAATGCCGTGCTTTCCTCTGAAGTTGCGTTTCCTTGTAGTTCCTCTTGGACAGAGACTGTTCCAAAAGTTTCAGAAATGACGATTTCCATCTTCTTAGATACTACGCTTTGAAGAGCTTGCTGTATACTTGATTCAACTTTGTTGTTGGGTAAGATGGTCATCTCTGGATATTGAATGGTGGAGCTGGCGGAATCAAGAACTAAACCCATCCCCGATTCACAAGCCAAGGTTTCTCTAGTTTGAGCCACAGGCATAGATTCTTGAAGCAATGGTTCATCAGCTGCAGCACTCTCTAATTCGATTTGAACGAGATCACGGGGAGTGTCCAAGACACGTGTCGAACTGATTTCTACACCAGAAAATGTTTTGGAGAAACCCTGTTTCACAGAATCAGTGGCAGAGGAGAACTCACTGAGTGCTTGAGAAGATTCAAGCAAGCAGAGTTCATCTTGCAATGCTGTGGAATGCAATTCAGCTGATAGTGTCCCCTTTGCATTAAATTCAGTGTGTTTAATGCTCTTCATTTCTTCCGAATTTTCAGTGTCATAGCGGACCGTTGTGCATAATGCTTCATTAGAAGAGATCGTTGGAATAATGTGATGTTCCGGGATAGAGGATTCCGAGATCTCTTCAACATCTGATAAGTGAATTGCAGATGTTTGCAGTGGAGCTTTCAGCAGTGCTTCCTGATTTGCAGTAGCGTGTGATTCTGGTACATCTTGAGTATCGAAGTAAGAGCAAGTAACAGCTGTCTCAATCTCCCCAGAACTTTCTGGAATTTGAGTCGGAGCTATTGTTTGTTGAATGAGGTTGATTTGCTCTTCACCAGATTTTCTTTCATCGGTATTTTCAATGCGCAATGATTCACTAACAAGTGGCAATTGCATCATTTGACTGACTGAAAACTCTGGGTTGATCGATTGACTCTTTTCTGTCGGAAGATTTTCAGAGTTTTCCAAAGACCTCACTAGACTTCCCGTCACTGCAGAAAATTCCGCAAGGGACGTCTTTGTAACTTTCTGAATCAGCGGTTCTGACTGTTTCGGCATGACCATTGTATTTTCGAAAAGTAATTCTGCTTCCAGTTGAGGTGCATTCTGTGACACTGTTTGCATGCTTGACCTGACCTCCACTTCAAGGTCGAGTTTTGTTTCAGGAGTTGGCTTGACGGTTTCATTTGCAATAACATGAGCAATGGATGTTGCAGATGCTTGTTCAAGTGCAACCGTTCCAAAATCGACGGAGTATTTTTCGAGCATGCCATGTGAAATCTCTGCTGTATCATTGGTGACATCTTGCTTCACAAGAATGGCCTCTTCTTGAATTATTGATACGCTCGCGTCCTTTTCCAAGGATTTAGTTGAGGAGAATGTTTCTGTGTCAGTAGTACCCTCTGTTGGAAGAACTACAGAAACTTGAGCTGTCGGCTGGCTGGTTGCACAAATTATGCTCGCTTTTTCATTCTTTGTCGAAGCTAATTCCAGGGCTTCGATCTCTGCTGCATCATTGGTGACATCTTGCTTCACAAGAATGGCCTCTTCTGGAATTATTGATACGCTCGCGTCCTTTTCCAAAGATTTAATTGAGGACTTTGTTTTTGTGTCAGTAGTACCCTCTGTTGGAAGAACTACAGAAACTTGAGCTGTTGGCTGGCTGGTTGCACAAATTATGTTCGCTTTTTCATTCTTCATTGAAGCTAATTCCAAGGCTTCAATGTTGTCATGCATCTGTACTTTAGTTGTCTCCACTGCGTTTTGCTTGAAAATCTGTTCTTGAGCAGAGCTAGAATCAAGCTTCAAAAGCTTTGGTACAAATGGAGCGAGATTTTCATCTAAGAATGTCTCTGTTCTGCTCAATGATGAATCCCGTTGTTGAAGAGATGATTCTGCGGCTGCATACAAATCCCTTTTTTCCATTGTTTCCTTAATCTTTGATGTGGTTTGCAGAGTGAAATTTGCAGCAACTTCACCGGCTTGCAGAGGTTGGATGCAGAGGGTTTTTTGGGCATTACCGATTCCTCCCAAGTCAAGTTCTTCAGTGGGATAAACTGATGTTTCTTGAAAGTTCAACTGACGACTGACAGATGAATCCTGGATTGGCAAAATAACTTTCGCAACTTCTGATTCGGTGGAACTGCCCAAAACTTCAGCAGAATCTGATGGAAATACTTTAGTTACTTCAGTAGAGTACAGTCCTTTGTGGCAAATACTGAGATCAGCATTGTAACTCTTCGATTCGATATCAAAGTGAGAGCAAGTCACTGCTGTCTCAATCTCCCCAGAACTTTCTGGAATTTGAGTCGGAGCTATTCTTTGTCGAATGAGGTTGATTTCCTCTTCGCCAGGTTTTCTTTCGTCTGTATTTTCAACCCGCAGTGATTCACTAACGATTGGCAATTGCATCATTTGACTGACTGAAAACTCTGGGTTGATCGATTGACTTTTTTCTATCTGAAGGTTTTCAGAGTTTTCCAAAGACCTCACTAGACTTCCCGTCACTGCAGTAAATTCCGCCAGGGAGGTTTTCGTAACTTGCTGGTTTGCTGGTTCTGACAGCTTTGGCATGGCCATTGTATTTTCGAAAAACAATTCAGCTTTCACTTGTGGTGCATTCTGTGACACTGGATGCATGCTTGACTGGATCTCCAATCCGAGTTGGAGTTTTGTTTCAGGATTTGGCTCGACGGTTTCATTTGCAATAACGTGAGCAATGGATGTTGCAGATGCTTGTTCAAGTGCAACCGTTCCAAAATCGACAGAGTATTTTTCGAGCACGCCATGTGAAATCTCTGCTGTATCATTGGTGACATCTTGCTTCACAAGAATGGCCTCTTCTTGAATTATTGATACACTCGCGTCCTTCTCCAAGGTTTTAGTTGAGGAGAATGTTTCTGTGTCAGTAGTACCCTCTGTTGGAAGAACTACAGAAACTTGAGCTGTCGGCTGGCTGGTTGCACAAATTATGTTTGCTTTTTCATTCTTTGTCGAAGCTAATTCCAGGGCTTCGATCTCTGCTGCATCATTGGTGACATCTTGCTTCACAAGAATGGCTTCTTCTGGAATTATTGATACACTCGCGTCCTTTTCCAAGGATTTAGTTGAGGAGAATGTTTCTGTGTCAGTAGTACCCTCCGTTGGAAGAACTACAGAAACTTGAGCTGTCGGCTGGCTGGTTGCACAAATTATGTTCGCTTTTTCATTCTTCATCGAAGCTAATTCCAGGGCTTCGATGTTGTCTTGTGGCTGTACTTTAGTTGTCTCAACAGCGTTTTGCTTTAAAATCTGTTCTTGAGCAGAGCTAGAATCAAGCTTCAAAGGCTTTGGCACAAATGGAGCGAGATTTTCATCCAAGAACGTCTCTGTTCTGCTCAATGATGAATCCCGTTGCTGAAGAGATGATTTTGCAGCAGCGTACAGATCTCTTCTTCTCTTCGTTTCCCTTAGCGTCGATGTGGTTTGCAGCGTGCAACTTGCTGCAACTTCCCCAGCTTGGAGAGGTTGGATGCAGAGGGTTTTTTGTGCATTACCAATTTCTCCCAAATCGAGTTTTTCAGTGGGATAAACCGATGTTTCTTGAAAGTTCAACTGACGACTGACAGAGGAATCCCGGATTGGCAAAATAACTCTTGCAACTTCTGATTCGGTGGAACTTCTCAAAAGTTCAGCAGAATCTGATGGAAATACTTTAGTTACTTCACTTGAATACAATCCTTTGTGGCAGATACTGAGATCAGCATTAAAACTCTTTGACACGAGTCTATTCTCGAGTGGGGATAATTCCTCGGGAGATACGGGAACTTCAGTTCTCGAGATGGAATTGTCACGCACAGGAAGAAGAACTTTCGCTGACTGAGTTGAACGTGGTGCATCAAGGATTTCTTCAGCATGTTGAATAGTCGTACATTTGTTTACTGCAGTCACAGCAAGTGGAATCAAATTTGTCGAACAACTTCCGGCATCAGCTATTGGCATTTCTGGCGCCTCGTGAGATGAAACGCCAGATGATATGAACACTGATTCGACAATTGGAGCCTCATTTTGAGGAAAAGCAGGTGTTGCAGATGTTTCAAGTTGCTTTGGTGCTCCGATCAAATCTTCAGATAATTCATGAGACTGAACAGTGGAAATTTCGTTAGCTCTCATGGGCTGAATGCAAGCAGAAAATGCTGCGGTTGTGAGATCCGGGTTTTTATGACTTTGTAGGATTTCTGTCTTTGGCTCCATCAAAGTCGTTTCTGTCCTAGTGCAAGAACTGTCCCGTACAGGAATCGTTACCTGAACTTGGCATGAATTCAACTCAGGTTTTCGCAGTTCCGCTGCAAAACCCGTGATCATGTTTTGCGTTGTTTCGATGTGTTTGAATTCACTCAAATCTAAGCTAGGAGCCACATTTTCCTCGTTCCTCGCTTCTTCAACACAAATACCACTGCTTTCTGACACCAGAACTTCTGAGGCACTCACAGTGTTTCCTAGCGAAGGTAGAACAATTTTTCCTCGAGTGGATGGAAGAGAGTCCTGCTGAAATTTGGCAAGTCCGTCCATGGGTACATCTTGCTTAACTTCTCCAGCCATCAGCGGTTGAAAGATCAAGTTTGGTTGGATTTGACTTTCGCCAACTTCTCTGAAATCCTGGTTTAACTGCGTAGCTGATGACATCGTTTTGACTTCAGTTTTTGTGAGATATGCCTCCGTAATCGGAATTTCCATTTTTGCCGATTGCGCTTTGTCCTTTCGCTCATCTTGCAGTTGCTCTGTTGCTGTCAAAGTAGTCGTATCTGTGACTTGTCCGGCATAATTGTCGATGAAATAGAGAGATTCCTTCGCAGAATCCGTTTTCATTGGGACTGTCTCAGACGTCAACGTTTGACCCTCCAAGTTGACTGTTCTAATCGTTGGCAGTATTCCACCCCGGCACTCGAGTGATGTCATCAATTTCTCTGTGTCTCTCAGTTCTTCCGTGAAAGTTTTTTCAGCTTCCAGAGCTACATTTTCAGAACTCCTGATAGATTCTTTCTCCATGCGTGACGTCGCAGCAGTTTGATGAGAGGGAGTGGATGGTGTTGAAAAGTATTTTTCTGTCGAACCAGCGACTATTTCCAGCTTCTCGATCATGCTCTGCAACTCGTAATTTGTATCTGCTTCCACTGCTGGCATCGCAGCATACGCCGTCATTTTGTTGGTTGAACTCAAAACAGGGCGTATTTCTTGGCTTGCTACTGGATGGCCAGACGTGAGAAGTGCAGATCCACTTTCCAGATCATGACAGAAGTCTTTGGCATACGTCACACTTTCAATCAATACTGGCGAAAACATTTCATTCGTCGACTTGAAGAAGCCAGCTATATCGCTCTCAGCATTTACTGTTCCCGGCTGAGTCCAGAATTTCTCATGGAGTTCCATCTCGGCCGGTTGAATCAGTGCAGTGCTGGCAACATTCTTCGCCTTTTCAGTGTAAGACCCCTCTATCCTCTTCATTTCTGGAAGTTGCACATTCATGCTTGCTGCACTGCTCCATATGCAGCATTTCTGCTGTGATGGTACAGTTTTCATTAAATCCACCATGGTTATTGAAGGCGTTTTGTCTTCGTTGACAGCATCAGGATGTAGAGCAGGAGTAGACATCAGGCACATCATCAAGTAGTTGGTGGGAGCTAATTTCTCGAGATCGTAAGAAATCTTGCCGGTCTGCGTTTGAGCCATTTGTCTCCCATTTTCAAATCCGCCAATACCGTCCATAAGAACTTGTGACATCATATTCGGAGCGGGCAGATGACAAAGCAAGTCTTCGGAAGCAGCTTCTGAAGTGAATTCCGGCATTGTCTGAGAGTCACAAGTTTCTTCAGGGATCAGGTTCTCACATTTCTCAACAGCGGATAGTTGGAGCAGTACCCTTTTCTTCGTGGTATGCGAGGAGTCCAATTCATGCTTTTGAAGAATGGGATGCGGAGTCTCCGTGTGGCTCAGTAGATCGTCACCAGTGACAATGGCTTGTGACAATCCTGGAACTGGAATTTCAAGTTGTTCTGCCTGTTGCTCTTCGTGTTGAATTTGCGTAGCATTTGGAACGAGAACTGGAGCTTCGATACTGTGCATAGCTTGTTTACCTAGCTGAACATTTTTCGTTGCTTCGAACATTTGAGCGCTCTCCTGAACGAGAGATTCATCCATTTGTGAACTAACCAATGGTGCTTTGGTTTCTTTTGGCTGAAGACGTTTTTGTTTAACTTGTTTTCTAAGCTGAACATTATTTGTTTCCTCCAACACTTGGGTGCTCTCCTGAACGAGAGATTCATCCATTTGTGGAGCAACTGATGCTGCTATGGTTTCCTTTGTTCGTAGAGATTTCGGTTCAACTTGTTTCTTAAGTTGAACATATTTTGTTTCTTCCAACATTTGGGTGCTCTCCTGAACAAGAGATTCATCCATTTGTGAACTAACCAAAGCTGCTATGGTTTCCTTCGGTCGTAGAGATTTCGGTTCGACTTGTTTCTCAGGTTGAACATGACTTGTTTCTTCCAACATTTGGGTGCTCTCCTGAACAAGAGATTCATCCATTTGTGAACTAACCAAAGCTGCAGTGGTTTCTTTTGGCTGAAGACGTTTTTGTTTAACTTGTTTTCTAAGCTGAACATTATTTGTTTCTTCCAACATTTGGGTACTCTCCTGAACAAAGGATTCATCCATTTGCGAACTAACCGATGGTGCTTTGGCTTCTTTTGGTCGACGAAGTTTCGTTTTAGCTTGTCTCCTAAGCTGAACATTATTTGTTTCTTCCAATATTTGGGTACTCTCCTGAGCAAGAGATTCGTCCATTTGTGAACTAACAAATGTTGCTGTGGTTTCTTTCGGCCGAAGAAGTTGTTGTGACTGAAAAAATTCCTCTTCGACATCCTTGGCGTCAGCCAAGTTTGCGAATGTCTTATAAGACTCCGTTGGATGGTCTGTGGTCACGTGTTCCGAATCAGTTTGTGTTGTGTTGAATGTATTGACTGGTGTTGCCTCCGTAGTATCTGAGAAACATTCCGTATTTTTATGAAGTTTTTCATGCATAATGTTGAAGAATGTACTGTTCATGAAATCAACCCATAAATTCGTTTGGAACACGTCCTTATTTGGCAGTCAAGATATATGACCATTTTTTGTCTTTCCTTCTGCTGCATACGTACGTATTATCACTATTGTACTGTATTGTAATCTTTCTGGGTTTTACCGTACCTGACAGTATAAGGTCTTGCTTGGAAGCCGCGAATTGGTGAGCGTCAGACTTGGATGATTTTGCCTCTGCTAATGGCAAATGGATTTCCTTCAAGTCAGCATTTGGTTCCTGAAGCATGAAAATATAATAAATAAGGTAAATTATAATTTTTGTGCTGCTTTTTAGAACATACCTCTATGAACACCTCTTCTGTGGTAACAGAGTGAGATTCCGTCTGCTTCACCTGAGGCATGACACGGTCTCGAACGTTTTCTGAGAACTGTGCAATGTCTTCTGTGACCTGCATTTCAGCAATGCATACAGATTGATGAGAGCCCTCCACAGCGGATAGGTTAGCATTGAGAGGTACTTGATGGGCATCAGCACTTCTACCCTGTAAGCTGTCAAGACCAATAAACTCCGAAATTTGGATCTGGGCTTCTGCTGGTGCCATGGATAGTTTCGATTGAACAACTTCGGAATGAAATTGTGCGAGTTCCTTGGCAGTTTGCTGCTGAGTTACTTCTTGAACCGATGCAGCTTTGAAAGATTCTAGCGTAGATGACATTTTTGACTCTTTTGCGGTTGTTTTATGACTGGAAAACTCTTGATGCACCTCCATGACGTCTAAATGCTCCACTTGTACACTTGTTGATGACTGAACACTGCTGGATAGTTTCTCTTCCTATAAACATGCGCAAAAAGCGTTTTGGATTGAGAAGCTATCATTTTTTCATGATAATCCCTCACCTTTGGAGCATCATGTGCCAGTTCTGCTACTGATTCCTTTGGAGATTTAGAAACAGAAGGAACTCCTTTCTTAACATCTTGTGCCTTGGAAGTCTGAAAGGGCATTCAAAATATATAGGTTCATTCGAAGCATTTGTTTTAAAGAAGGAAGCTGCTGTTGCCTAAACGGAATCTAAATGCTACACAGAAAACGTACACTGATACCCATCCCATCGTGTTCAACGTTAATATTGCCCGATTGATCAGTCATCATTCATTTTTTGAATGAGAATAAATGTGAAGGCAAAAATTTGAAGCACTCACCACTTTTTTCTTGGGTTTCTTGAGCGCGATTGAATCTTTCGAAGTTTGGATTTTTTCTTCAACTTCACCAGCTGGTACCTGGTCTTTTTTAGTTGTAGGAACTGTCTCGATGCTTTTCGTAGTCCTTTCGATGTCAATTTTGGAAATCTTTTTGTCGTGTTTCGAAGAGACTACTTGCGGTTGCTGTTCATCCGGTTTTACCGACGTGGGTTTGCTGGTGTCTACAATTATTTCTGATCTTTCTATCGGAACGATTTCTGATTCGGATACTTGATTGTCTCTCGTTGTTGATGACAAACTGACTGATAAATCCGTTTTACTTGTCTCAGAGAGCTCCTGAATAATACTTGTTGTTTTCGTCTCGGTGGTGGTATCAGGGACTTTCTGGGGCTTAGGTTTTGCGGGTTGAAGTTTGACTCCCAAAAAGGACTTATTGTCTTGCTGAGGTAGATTAGCCATTGTTGAGGAAGTGTTTCCTTTAACTTCATCAGTACGAGGAACTGTCTTCTGCACTGGCTTCAGCGTCAATTCAGAGAAGTGTTTCTCTTTGTTTTCTTGGATTTCTGCAGGCTTTAGATCTACTGTAGTCGATGTTACCTCATTTGCAGCCGGCTGCAACTTTGGAGGTTTCAACTTCGCTGTCTGCCATTCAAGAGAGGAGGAAGCTTGCTTGCTGGCAGGTTTCTTCTCAGGCACCACTTTGAGTTTGTTTGCCTTTCCTTGCCACGGGACCTCTGGCTTCTTTGGTTGTTCTTTACGTTCAAGATCGATCTGTGCTTTCGAATCTATAGTGGAACTTGTTTCTGTCTTAGTATCACTACTAATCAAATTCAGATTTGTTTTGGTGGTATGAGTTTGATCGGTCTCCAGGGATGACTTCAGCGTCATAATGCTGCTATCCTCAGAGTGATGCGTCTTCTCCAACGTCAGCTGATCCCTCGTTTGGCTGATCAAAGAACGCAAGTTTACTCGTTAATAAGGAATATTGGCGAACACCCGCAGGTCCATGAGTACACAAACCTTTTCTTCTCAAGTATGATTTCTCTCTTCTTCTTGCGGTCCTCCCGCTTTTGAGCACGCTCGGAAAGCCTGAGCTCCTCTCTGGCATGGAACTCAGCAATTTCTTTTTTCCTTTCCGTTTCAACTCCTTCTTTCTCTTCGATAGTCAGTTCTGAACCAAAACAAAGACATTCAACTGAATTTTCGAAGAAAGCGAATGAAAATCCAGACGCTAACCTTGTACAGTCACGAAAGCTTCGGAAATTATCATGCCAGCAGGGTTCATAGCTCTGCAAGTATACTTGCCAGCCATGTCAGGAGTAGCATTATGAATGGTCAAAGTTGACGTTTCATTGGTTGTTTTTGTTTGAAGTTGCTTTGAATTTTTGATTTCTTTGTCCTCCTTGAACCAAAATATCTCTGTAAAACAAATTGTCGAAGAAAAGCCATATTTTAATGCCGTGCTGAAGTAAAAAAATAAAGTGGGTTTGAATGAATTCAACTGTTAAAAGTGACTGAATTACGCACGCGGCTTTGGTTTCCCCGAAATGGACACTTGCAAGGTCACATTTTGATTTTCTCTCACTGTGGCATCCATCAGCTCAACAGTGAACGTAGGTTGCACTGTGTTTTCTAGAAATTTAAAGAAGTTAGTTACATGACACTTCAGAAATCGTTCTGAGGTAAAGTTTAAATTTGAAAAAATGTCATATCAAGTTCTTCGGCGTCAAACTTATTTGACAAGTCTAAAAGTGATTAGGATGCTTCTACTTTGAAATATTTGGAAACTCTTCCGGTAGAGTTGCACGTTTCCAGCATCGATTATGCTCAAAACTTTGGCAATCGAACACTGTAAAATTTCAATAATTACACATAATTCCAACCTTTTTCCAGCTTTTGAAGCTCCTCGAGCTGAACTAGCCAGTCAGGCTTCCTGTAGTATTTTGAGTCCAGGTGTTCTGTAAAATGGGACAAAAATCTCAGATCATCATTGGTAACAATTTATTCTATCAAACGTAAATAGTGTAAGCACATGCAGTTTGTTATGTTTTCTGGATGAAAATGTTCGTATAGCCTTGTGGCTAGCTGAATGAGTTGTGATTAAATGTAGTAGTGTTTTAGCTAATCTAATGGTATGTTTTTGTGAAGAAAGCCATGGCTGGAAGATCAAGACATCTTCAAGGTCTCAATCTTCGAGAGAACCTGTAAAAAAGTAGAAGGAAAATTGAAAAGAAGTGACAATAGTTCACTTCCTTGGGTGATATTAGTAAAAATATTGTCCCATTCGATATTGGAGAATGATTGCGTGACCAATCAGTTACCAGCGAATGAAACATTAATCGCCGTATGCACACGCAAAATCAATTCGTTTACCTGATTCTCCAACCTGTACGTCGTCTTTTTCTGACTGCTGATCACTTGCAAGTGTGGTCTCTTCCGCATCATGCGCTGAAATCTATTTTCAAAAAATGTTCGGGAATGATTCTCCAAAAAAGTGATTGTCTCTTACATCAATTTCAGGAGCAGAATCCGCCTCATCTCCCTCTGTATGAAGGGTTGATGTGTCTGACTCTGAACAATATTCATAGCCTGAAGAAAGGCGGATAAAGGGTAGTAATAAATCATGAGTCTTTTTTCACTGGATAATAAAACTCACATTCAACTACAAGTTCGCAGGTAGAGGTAACTATTCCCGCGTCATTCTCAGCAACGCAACAATAACTACCAGAGTCTTCTGGAAAAGCATTTTGGATTGTCAAAGTGCATGATCCATCTACGTCCTGGAACATCGTCAAGAACTTGTGACATCTTATATGCCTTCCATTGTGGAACCAATTGACGACGGGTTCCGGAATTCCTCCAACCTGTATAGTGAATCACGTTTGAGAAACTAAAAATGCGAAGATGCTTTTACTTCCTTCACCTTGCACATAAGAACCACGGTTTCTCCATCCATGATTTTATGGTCTTGCAGTTGCTCCACCATGTAAATTTCACCTGCACACGATTCATTATCAACCTCTTGAGGTTTGTCGTCAGCAGGCGTCCTTTCATCTGGTGTTTCTTCCTCGTGAGCTATTTGAGGCAGGTTCTGTTCAATTCCTGCGAAGTGAACGAACTCCCGTCACTCATGTTATCAGCAAGCAATACTCAATCTCCCCAGGCAGGGAAATTTCTCATATCAAATAACTGACCTGTAGTTTTATGAAGCACTGCTGATTCCCGATAATCGAGAATACTCGTGTCATCTTCAGATTCTTTTGCGGTCATGTCCTGAAATAAAATGTAGAAAAAGATCGTAAGGACATGCTTATTGTAAGAAGAATTACTTGTTTACCTGAAAACCATCAGAATCCTCCTCAAAAGGCTCTTCAATGATGACGTTTTTGGAAAATGCCTGAGAATCGAGATCTAATTCCTTCAATGACTGTTCGAAGGTATTCATCGGTAAGTTTTCCTCTGTGTCATCTGGACTCAATTCAGTAATCTCGAGGGCACTTCGGTATGTATCTGGACATGGCCCAAGTTCGTGAACATTCGGGACCCTTAATTCATCTCGTGGTCGAGACTGTTCCTGCATTTCTCGGAGAACTGTGAAGGCTACTGTTCTTTCCATCTGATTCCTCTGAACTTGACTTCGCTCCTTCATTATGCTTTCCCGAGAAGAGGAATCAATGATAGTTACACTGTGTACTGTACGACGCGTTTCCAAAGATTCCATCCGTTCAATCGTTTCAGTATCTTGGCTTATTTGGCAGATGAAGTCTTCAAGGGCCAGAATGGGATTCTGCATAGGCTGATGAATTTTTATATGTTCTTCTTCCGGCATTTCTTCCAGGGGAAGTGTCTGACTTGAAGCCAATATTTCTATATCATCCCTCCTCTCAACATCAGCTCTAATCTTAGGAATTGGCAAAGGAAGGCTCACAGTATATGCCTCTTGTCTACCAATTTCCGAAGCATCGGGTAATTCCGGCATCGAGTCACCGGAATTTGACTCAAGCAGTACTTCCTGCATTGTTAGATATTCCTGCACTTCAGACTTTATGACATCGAATTTAGCTGACTCATTTTTGTCGAGAACAGCGAGCAGTGTTTCAGGTCCGTATTTAGTGGATGGTTGAATGCTAATTGTTGTGTTGCGTATTTGATCAAAGGTCAAACTGGAAATTCCCTGCACTGTTGAGGGTGAACTCTCTAAACCCAGCATTGACTCATTTTCCGTGGAGACAATGACTGATTGGCCAATTTTAGCTTCTTTCAGATGGGATTCGTGGTGCACGAATACTGCCACTTTTGTTTCTCGCTCGCTTTTGATTAGAGGAGACAGGGAATCCTGTGCAAGAGTGTCCGCAATAAATTCTTTTCCCGACAACATTATTTGATGCTGTTGACCTTCTGCGACTGATATTTCTTCTGGGTGCAATGCAACTATTTCTACCGCAGCTTCGCAGATATCATGGCGTTCCTCCAGCGGTTTTGCTGTAACCAACATTTTTCTGACATGTTTTTCCGTTTTAACTTTTCGTGGACCTTCGTTCTTTGTGACCATCACAGTAGACGAAAATTCCAGATTTTCATGTTTTTTACTCTCGGTGTGGTATGGATGTTGCATTCCATCCTCTTCGGGCAATTTTGCATCGTCCTGGGAGCATTCAATTTTATCTTTGGCACCAGATTTAAATGTCTTATGATCTTTGTTCGAGCTCTCTGCCGCAGCGAGAGGCTTTAAAGTTTTGGTTTGAACGGGTGCCGTGATTTCTGGGGTTGGCTGATCAGTTTGACGAGGGATTGATACATTTTTCTGTGAGTCAGTTTCGGGTTTTGATTCTGGAGCTGATTCTGGTTTTGACGTTGGAGCTGTTTCCTTCACCACAGAGGAAGTTTCAATTTCTTGAACATCGTTTCGGTATTTTTCTGGGCGCGATACAACTGCTTCCTCAAACTTGTCCTCAAGTATGGTGTGTGACAAGAGGACCGCAGTTGGAAGGGCTTCATGTGTTGTATCACGAGATTTGAATGGTTCTTGGTCATTGAAATCGGTGGCCATTTGTTGCATTGGCTTTAACATTTCATCGACAAATAGGCTATTCATTTCTTCTTTGTGGAAATTCTCAAGTGATAAATGTTCCACTTTTTCTTCATGCTTTTCTTCTGGTGTGGTGGAGGTCCCTTGAAACTGCATTTTGCTTATTTCTGTAGAGGAAACTTGCATGGTCGCATGCTTATTTGTTTCCTGTTCAGTCCTGTTGGTTATCCTCCGATCCAAAATTATGTTTGCAGTGACCTTGTCCAACTCCTTATGAGGTTCCGACAAGCTTATCTGTAATTTGTTGACTTCCGTTTCACTCGTATGCTCAAGTGGTCCTTTTTCTTCAATTGCGACGTTTCTTTGGCGGGGATGCCGATGATCCTCAGTGGAACCGAACACATCTGAAGAGCTTTTTTGAAATTTAACAGGCACATTTTCATTACTGGGCTTTGCTTCACCGGATATAATTATCAGTTGATTGATTGACATTTCTGGAGCAAAATTTTCTTCAAGTAGTGGAGCGCTTGACTCGACAGCAGTTTCGAATATGGTTTCATCCGCATGAGACGGTTCAGCAGCAGTAGATGGAAGTTGCTGGCTTACGGATACCGATGGCAATGTGGCCTCTGCAATGGACATTTCCTGATTTTTATCAGTAATTGTGGAACAGCGAGAAATTTCAGCAATCCTTCGGAATTCTTCGATTTCATCCCAAGGAATCTCTTCGAGGCTTGAAAGTTGCAAGGTATTAAGATTTTTTGAAGTCGATTGGTTGTTTTCCATTTGGATTTCTTTGCCATCTAGCGATACTGTGCTGGAAGACAAGAATTTATCTTGTGGCGCATACGTTTCAAGTGATTCTGTATGCGCTGTGATTTCACTCATCTCTGAGGGCATATTTGATGAACTGATTGCAGTCTTGAGAATTTCATTGATTTCAAGCTTCGAAGAAGCTTTTTTCCGTATGTTACTTGTAGGGCTTTCCCTCTCGTCTTTGTCAGGTGTTTCTGATTTTTCTCCCTCGGGTTCCATTTGGCTGGAAGGTTGCAATTTTTTGGTCGTCCAGGGGAGTTTCTTTTTGACTGTGACTTTACATTGGATTACATCAATCTGGGTCCTCGTATCTTCTGGCGAAGATCCAAGTTCTGGTACAGTTGCTTCAAGCTCTTGGATTGGTAACTTTTGGTCATTCTGAGTGGGCGTTTTTGTACTAATTACTTCTATAGGACCTGATGCTTTTTCTGATACAACTGTCGACTCAACAGTGGTTCTCGCCACGTCGTGATCTTGCAAAGATGGTACTTGTTGAGAAAAATCCATTGCCTCCTCATTTCTCCGTGCTGGTGATTCGTCAGGAACTTCTTTTTCAGGTGTTTCTAATTTGTCCCTTTCGTCTTTCATTTTGCTGGAAGGTTGAAATTTTTTGGTTGTCCAGGGAAGTTTCTTTTTGACTGTGACTTTACTTTGGATTACATCAATTTGGGTCCTCGTATCTTCCGGCGAAGATTCAAGTTGTGATACAGTTGCCTCATGTTCTTGGATTGGTAACTTTTGGTCATTCTGAGTGGGAGTTTTTGCACTAATTACTTCCATAGGACCTGATGCTTTTTCCGATGAAATTATCGGCTTCACAGTGGTTCTTGTCACATCCTTTGTCTCATCTTGCAAAGTTGGTAGTTCTTGAGATGAATCCATTGCCTCGTCATTCCTCCGCGCTGGTAATTCGTCAGAAACTTCTTTTTCAGGTGTTTCTAATTTGTCCCTTTCGTCTTTCATTTTGCTGGAAGGTTGCAATTTTTTGGTTGTCCAGGGAAGTTTCTTTTTGACTGTGACTTTACTTTGGATCACATCATTCTGGGTCCTCGTATCTACTGGCGAAGATCCAAGTTCTGATACAGTTACTTCATGTTCTTGGATTGGTAACTTATGGTCATTCTGAGAGGGAGTTTTTGCAATAATTACTTCCATAGGACCTGATTCTTTGTCTGATAAAATTACAGACTTAGCAGTGGTTCTTGCGTCATCCTTGATTTCATCTTGCAAAGTTGGTACTTCTTCAGATAAATCCATTATTGCCTCCTCAATTCCCCGTGCTGGTGATTCGTCAGGAACTTCAATATTCTTGACAAGGGTTTTCCGACTTGCTTGTAACTGGATATTAGGTTTTCCGCCTTCATCAAGTAAATTGGCATTTGTTGGTCGCTGGGTTTCATCCCTGCTGACTATTGTAGGACCATGAGAAGTTTCAATGGTAGGGGAGATCGTAACATATTCTTCAGAAGTTCCGCCTTTTGTTATTGGTTGCTTGACTTCTTTTGGCTCCTCCTCAGGCCGTGTTTCAAAATGTGCATCATTTTCAGCTGAGGCTACTTCCTGGGACAACTTTTCATCCATCTTTTCGGCTTCTTTCGTAGTGAGATCAGTCTCAGGCCTCACTTCTATGACGGCTTTTCTTTCAAGAGAATGAGTACGTGAACTTTTAACCTTTTTTCCTCGACGTTTTATTGAACCTTTCTCAATTTCTTCCGGCAACTTTTCCGATGATTGAGTTTCTTGAACAATCTCAACGGAGGTATCCACGCGGCCATCACGGGGAGAAGTTCTGCTGTTTTCTGCTTTTGGCAGCATGGTACGCTGTTCTTCCATGGTTTGCTCTGAAACTTCTTCATGCTGGCCTGGCATTTGATGGCCTGATTTTGTTTCAATCTTTTCCATATTTATACTTTCAGGCGAACGGGGTTGCAAGAATGTAATTTTGACTTCCTGTGGCTCATCCGTTTGGACGTTGATTTTCCTGTATTCTAGATTTGTTTCATGCTGAACTTTTTTGGCTTCCGGTGTGCTTGTTTTCAGTTCATCTATGTTCAGTGGCGAATCGTGTTCAGTTTCTGATGATGAGGCCTGAATAACCGACGTTGAGGCCAACGTTACTCTGCTGCCTTCTTTTATGTACAGTTCAAGTCGTTCTTTAACCAATTCTGCTGAGGGCTTCGTGTCACTCAAGATAGTATCCGTGACTTGACCTTCTATTACTGCTGTTGAATTCGATGGTTTAGTCTCTTTCAGAGACGATATGTGCTCTTCAGAATCATCATTTGATACAGAACCACTCACGATCGTGAATAAGGATTCACGTTCATTCTGTGGCCGTATCTCGTTCACCGGTGGTTGTAATTCTTGTAAGGGTCGTTCGTCCACTTCCCCGGGGAGAATTTTGTCTGCTTCGGACCTAAACGAACTTTCAATCTTTGCTTCTTCCTGTTCACTTATTTGGAGTATATTTGATGTGACCGTTGATGCTGTTGAGGCTTCAGCTCGTCCCGTCAAAGGTGCTCGTTTTTTCTTCTTGCTCACTGGTTTAGTTGATGTTTGTAGTTTTAGGTTCACCTCGGTTGCATTGACTTCGATTTCATCAAAATGTAATCCCTTACGTTCAGGCACTTCTTGTATTTGTAATTTTAATAATTCGCTTTTTGGTCGATCTTTTTCTTCCTGAAGTCCCTCTTCAGGTCGAGGAGAGGGAGACGTTTCTTTTTCTTTTTCTGAGTCCATTTTCACATTCTCTGGTTGCACTTCGTTCTTCAAAGATGAAGGCATATTTTGCTTGGTGATTTCCTCATCTTCTGTATGTCTCTCTGATTCGTCAATATCCTTCGCTTTGCTGTGGAGAATCAATGCTTCCACATTTTGTTGGCTGTCAATCACAAACGTTTTCAGATCTTGATTTGATGTCAATTTTTCCTTTATTGTTGGGCTATCAATTGATGGTGCTTTTGGACGGGGTTCAGGTTTCGTCGCTGATTTCTCCTCAACATCAAGGTCCGTCGCGTGCTGTTCAGATTTGAGATGATTGCGACTACTCTTTTTCAAGTGTTTTAAATGTTGATTTCGTCTGTTTCTCCCTTCTGGTGCCTTTTCTTGCATTTCGGGAATGCTCGGAGTTTTCTCGACTTCTTCGTGAGGCATTTCTGACTGGACCAGAGCCTCTGGAACGGTTTCCACGCATCTGATCTCTGTGTTTTCTTTGTTTTTGCCCGGACGACTGATCCACTTGTCAGGGTGGAGCTCAGGGACTGAAATTTCTTTTGCCAGCGTCTCAGATTCTGAAACTATCGGCGCACATTCTTGATATTCTTTCGAGGTATCATCCTCGACATCGTACGGCTTGATGAAGGTCTCCCCTTCACTCAATATTTCTTGCTCTGGGGCATCTGAACCATCAACCCTCTGAAAAATTGGGTGCGTCACTGGGGCTTCTATTGTTTCAACCTCCGATGCTGCCTTAGTATGCTTTGTTCTTCGAGTCCTTTTGGATACCGTTTCATTTCTGGACTTCGCTTTTTGGTCAATGATGGGTCCAGCATCTTTAATTAAACCCTCAGAAATGCTGCTGGTGGAAATTTGCGGTGAATCTGTATTCTCGGTTGCATCATAAGCAAAGTTGACGTCCAACGCCTTTGATAAATTTTCGAAAGGCTTTTTCAAGACTACGTTTTCTATCTCCCTGCTGTGTGTTTGCTCTTCTTCAACCGGTGCTTTCGAATTCTTTTCGTCAGCATCGGGTGCTTGCGGTTTTCTGATATTTTCAGGGTGAGATTTCTCAACTTTCCACCTGGCATTCTTTCTTTTGGTTAAGTCATCCTTCGGTTTTGAGGGTTCATGTTCGGTGGCTTTCTCTTCAGCTGTTTTAGTAGGTAGTAGCTGTTGCAGCTTTTCCTTTTCTGTGACTTCGATCGGTTTTTTTGGTTCATCCGATGTGTCAGATTTTTTTGTTGGTAATACAGCCTTTTCCGACTCATTCGATGCATATTTTGGCACTTCGAACGGGGATTCATTTTCAAAGATTGATTCTTGAAATTTGCCGTCCTTTCCTCCGGCATCGACGTGTTTTTCGATGCCAATAACTTGTCTTCCTTCCGTGGTAGAGGAAGGATTCGGTAGGACCACTTTTGTTGTGTCTGAAGTACTTCTTACTATAGAAGGACCGTCTTTCTTTTTTAATGAAATGGCTATGTGAGATTCAGCTTGACTCTCTGCATTATCATTTTTCGGACGTGCGTCGAAATCGTGTGAGGAGGTGGTTTGTCCGCTCTTTTGCCTCATCGATTCAACCAATGTCAGATCTTCTTCGGTATCCAATTTTTTTTCCGAAGAAATGTTCTGGCCACTGTACGTTTCTGTCATTTCCGCTTTCTTATTCAACATTGCTGCTTGCTCTTGCACGTCTCGAGTAGGTTGCAGTGATTCTCCCCGTTCTTGGACTTCACTCTGGAGCGGCTTTGGCAATTTTTTCTTCCTCCACGGAGCGGCATGGGGTATTTGCTCATCCGGGATTGGCGTAGTGTCATTTGCTTCGTTTTTGCGCCCTTCATCAATGATGCCTTTTTCTTGCTCCACCTTCGCGACGGTTTCGCTGCTTTTTCCGAGTTCAGGTACGCTCGTCCAGTTGTCTTCACCAGCTTTTGCAGCATTTTTGGGTTTTGTATCTCTCGTACCCAAATTTTTGCTGGGTTTCATTAAATCCATGGGGATTGAGTCCTTTCCTTTGTTTTCTGCGCTTGTTCCCAGGTTTAAATCTGAGTGCGATACTTGTGGACTACGTTCATTAGATATACTTCGATCCGTCGCACCTGCGGGTCTCTTTGAATGCACAGAAATTTCTTGAGATTCTTTTAACTTTTTGGAATCGGGTTCCTTGTTTTCCGGAAGAGCTTCCGATGTTTTGAGCAGAATATTATTTTCTTCCGAGACAATGCGAGGCTTTGATCGGCGCCAAGGAGTTTTTACCTCATCAGACCGGATTAATTCATTTTTGATTTTACTCGTGTTTAAGTCCAAGGGCTCCTCGTCAGACTTTTCTAATGTTTTCGTCTGCTGAGTTCCTTCTATTGAAATAGTTTGACCAATGGATGCAGAGTTTTTGAACAAATCAGAACCATGATGCTCAGCTTCTAATGGGTATTTTTCTTCTTTCTCTTGACTTTTTGAAACCTGTTGCAGTAGATTTCTTGATTTTAGAGGCTTTGACCTGCGCCATGGAGCACTGCTGCTGGGGGATGGAGTAGGTGCCACTTCGACTTTGCTTGCGATCAATTCGATTGGCTGCTGAATTTTTTGGTCCTGCTTCTTATCCTCTTTTGTCTGGGAAATTTTTCTTGGCATTGAAGGTTGATCAATTGACGGTGATGGTTCAGAGGAATTTGAATACTGATTCATAACTCGTGACTTATTTTTCTCCCTTTTTTCCCCTCCATTGTCAGCTACTTTTGATTCCACATTTTCTGAAAGCGTCGGAGAATCAACGCCCGTCTCAATTGTAGGCGTCGGTTTCCGCAATTCTATCTTATGATCAGATTTTTGTCGGGCATCTTGTGCGAACACCTGTGGTTGAGCATTTTTCAAGGCTTCAACTGCGAGTATTTCTGTTTCTGGGACACGTTTCTCTTCGCGAGCGATTTCTTCTCCTGGAGTCTGGATAGTGACGTTTTCTGTTCCAGATTCACTCAGATCTTTACCAGGCCATTCCAACTTGAGATTCTCCGAATCCGTCCCTTGGGAGTGTTCAACTTTATGGATCGGCTTAGTTTCTGGAATTTGTGCTGCCTTGTTGGATGCAGGACTTCGTCTCTGTTTTTTTGGTGCCTTTATCATTTCGCTCTTCCGTGGTGCAGTTTGCTCAGGATGCCCTTCAGTAATCAATTCCTTCGCATCTTCCAGTGACAACTTTTCTGTGAGAACATTCGCTTTTGCTATTTTCAGTGAATCCAGAGAGTCAACTTCCCTGCCAGCTACGTTAGCGTCATTCTTCGATAAGGTGGTGGTCGTGTTTTGCATAAGCTCCGCAAGTTCCTCTGGTTGGAATTTGGTGCGTGGGATGGTTTTGCTGGTTGCTTCTTTAAACGTTTTATCAGCTTGTGCATCCAACGGTTTCGAGGAGAATGGAATTCCCGCTTCTTTGCCCATCTGAACTTCACTTGCAGTGACACGTGCTTTACGCCAAGGTGTTCCTTGCTGGGAATCATCTACTTTGCATGTTTGCAGAATTTCTTCCGAAACAAATGTGCTTTCTACATTAAGCCGTGCATCAGAGGATTCATGTGGCAAATCAGATGAAATTTCAGAGACAGGTTCAGATTTTGCAAGGTCTGATCCAACCATTTGTTTCAACGATTTCTTCTTAGGCACTATTTTCTTTGACGTGGTGCAATCAGATGCTTTTTTATGTGCCCCCAGGGAAACTGTTTTGTTCTCTGCCTTTGGTGCCATATTCTCAATATGTCCTGGTTCCTTGATTTGTCGTATTGGTGAGACAGATTCCAGAACTTCGTTTTTATGCGAAATATGCTTGCCACTCGAAAGATACCCCTTTTCTTGCAATTGGATATTCTCTGTTGAGTCTAAGTACTCGATATTTCCCAGTTGCTCCTCAGTCTCGGACTTCTTTGTTGATTCTGGCGCCTCAGTCTTTGACTTCTCTTCTGATTCTGGTTTTTGCGATTTATGATCATATTTTTGTCTGCGCGTCGCATTATCATCCGAAGAACTGCGTACGGATTTCGACGACTTCGTATCACTACTTTTTCGAAGAGTGGACGCCTTCTTTGGACGAGCTTTGGATGAAGCCGTGATGAACTGATTTTCCATTGCAGGACTCGAATCCTCATTTTTTTGGTTCTTTGGAAATTCAGAATCAGTTTGATCCAATACAGCGGTGAGCGGTTGAACTCCTAGTTCGACTTTGTCCTCTTCGACTTTATTTTCCTCCGCACGTAACTCTTTTAAACTTTTCTCAGCCAACGGAACTGTTCCTGAGCGAACTTTTCGGGACGTGTTTTTCTCCCCTGTCTTTAATTCATGGCTGTAATCGGTACATTTTTTGCGCGAAGAAATATCTGAGATATTCTCATGTGCTAAGTCCCCATGTGGCAGTTTACTGCTGAGTTTTGTCAAAGTGGAATCGAGTGCTGTGAATTTTGGTGCAATTATTTCAAGTTCTTCCTTGCTTTTAGAAACGTTGGAAGATAACGTTAGATTTCCCACTTCAACTGAATCTGCACTTTCAGCGCATGAATTTTCTCCATGGGTTTTTTCTTTCAATTCCACATGTATTATGTTGTCGAGAGTTGTCTGTTGTTGATAGTGCTGATCTTTTCGCAGTTTTCTCCAGGGAACTGAGACTGGTTCCACGCCTGAAATTTTGATATGATTTTACGCTATATGTATGTCTCATTCAAATTCCATGCTCATGAGCAGGTTTCAAGTTGGCTGAAATACATTTTGATTTTGGAAAATAATTTTCCTTAATTATTGTCTCTTGAGAAGATCGAACTTCTTTTGAAAACTCACTTGTACTTCGCAACTCTTTTCCAGGCGCTGATTCATTTGAATCGCGAGTCTGCCTCATTTCCGGTTCTTTCTGGATTGAATGCTCTGGAGAAAATTTTTGGATTGGGCGTTTCTGATCCGTATTGGATGCCATTGTGGTTTGAGTCCTTGCCTTTGGTTTTTTGGGCTTGCGTTCTGCAAAATCATGCGATTGTAACACGAACACCATCTTGTTAGAGATCTGTCCAATGAAAGGTCAATCTCTGATCATGCTTCCACGGACCTTGATTAGATGTTGATGATCTCAAGCTTGACTGTTCTCTATCCTCATGAGAGCAAATAGTTGGGATTGGAGGAGTAAACGGCATTTCCAATCCTGCTTAAATTACAAGAGGTACATTGAGGACAACAGTAAACTCAGATAAATTGAATCCCAACGTTCGAAAAGGATGGACTGGCTACACAGTTCAAAAGGGAAACACGTAAACACAGGGTGTCTCATGCATTTCAATGACGTCATTCGAATCCAGGTTCACTCGCATGTCTGTTATGAAATCATTAGTCAATACTTGTGCTCCCTATCACACGCCAGTTATCCTAGCTGCAACTAAACATGTCCCACTGTTTTTATTTTGCTGCCATCTACTCCGAAACCATCACCAAGTGTTAAAACAACCATTTCCCAATGATGTAGACGTGTTTTCATCTGTGTCACAGCGTGTTTTATTGATATCCACTTCCCATCAGCAAAGGCAGGTCTCTCATTCTCGGTAACAAAATTGAATATTTCAAGAAATATGGACGACTTACACTATCATCATTTAAAAACAGAAATTGGGCTTCCAGCATTGACTATGAGCTATTACTATTTTGGAGCACGCGATCAATATTTGTGCTGAAAGGTTTCTGGCTTGGTTTTGTGGAAGCAGCTTATATCAACTGTGTCTGGAGGTGCTGTAAGCTTTTCCTCCCAGCTGAATGCCCTTCAACTTCGCAGAAATAGAAAATATGAATTTCCTCCTCAAATTGATGGATCCCAATAAGACAGCGTAGTATTTCTGTCTAGCATAAGCTAAAAAAAAAAAAAATTACACCGTGGAGGCATAAGGTTAGCAAATCCGCGATGAACTTTCTCTCACAAACCAAGCAATATTTTAAAATTTGACTTCCTGAGAAATCTCAAGTAACAACATTGGGACCTCTGGAATCTATAAAGGCAGTTACACCAAACCATATTCGGTTGTGTATGTCCCACACAAACTGCACGATATTTGCTGGTAGTCCAAACTGCTGAAAACACGCTTAAATGTCACGAGGATCTCATAGGCTTCATCAAACGCTCAACGCAACAAACACACAAAATCATTAAAAACTGAGGGGAATCTCTTTGAATCACGAAAAAATAAATACTGGGAATCAGTGCGCGCAACTCAATTACCCACAATGAAATCATTAGCCGAACTCGTGAGAACAAGAGAATTAAACCGCGGCAGATCATTGGCTTGGGTTCCTGACAATCGACCTCAAGCTCTAACAGCAGTGACCAAGGGATGCTTCTGGTGCAGGATGCTGGGCCCACATTGACGGAGATGAGCTGGTCAGGCGAGACTCCGAGAACACTCAACCTTACTCACAGTTTTAGATTCGTCAATAAGCAACAAAGAGAAGAGTGGGATTTTTACGGCAGACTGAGAACTGTAGCACCTGACCAACCCACTCCAAGTTGACTGCCAATATTACGGCAACAATCCCTTGCAAGCAAAGACCAGCTAGGAGGCGTGTGACAATATGGCAATTTAACCAGAGCATGTAGCAAAATGTCGCCTACAAACGCACCCACAGGCATTTTGTGGTTCATAATTAGTGATCAACACTTTACAGGACAAATGCACTGGAAAAAGGAAGCTAAATGACGGAACAAATTTACTTGACAGGACTGCAATGACATAACTATGCAAATTGCGGAGACTACAACACACTTCTTGGAGCCATATTGTAACGGTAACGCAATCAACTCAGTGCTTACTGTGAGTGGTGAGCATCGCAGAAGTCTCAGCCTGACCAACTGAATTCGTGGCGCGGCAAGTGAATTGACCAGAATCTTCCGGGTAAGTCACTTTGATCTGCATTATAGCCTTGTTTCCTTCTCGGAACATCTGCACAACAAATAAAAGCAAATAATTTACTACGAGTAAACTTCTTTTATATTTTTCTGTCTTTTATCTTTTTCTTGTAAAATACCAATTTTATTGTGTACAGTATTCGCTAATGAGCTTGATTTCTCCCGTTGAATTATCAAGACTTTCATCTTCGGGGGTGAATTGAAGAAACAAGTTTGTTGGAGTTCGTATTACCCTTAATCACAAATTTACTCACGTTAAAATCCGCCGATTGCGGGATCAGGGTTCCTTCCCGGAACCACTGAATGGTTGGCGACGGAGTTCCGTGAACTTCGGTGGTAAAAGTAGCGGAATCGCCTTCATTGCACTCAACATTAGACATCGGGGACAATGAGGGAGGTTTCGATCCCTCGGAAGATGGTGCTGTGAGAGGAAAGTATTTTATATGCGTGCGAAAAACGATAATACAATATTTCAGTCTTGATGAAGGTTATTTTTTCGCTGGATGTACCTGTAACTGTCAACGTGGCCTGGGTAGAAACTTTGCCACTTGGACTCTCAGCGACACAAACGTACGTTCCTTCATCCTCAGGGAATGCCTCTGAGATGAAAAGTGTGTGGGTGGATTTCTCGTGCGACATCCGGAAATATTTCGATGGCTTGATGGGTTTGTTCCCTTTCATCCATGTAATTTTCGGGGCTGTAGAAACACCAATCAATGCATAAAATGCTTATTTTCTCTTTGTGGTCAGTTGTTTGAGTCGTTACCGGGCGAGCCTGTGAGCTTGCACTTGAATGTAGCCGGCTGCCCTTCTTCTACCATTACGGATTTAAGCTCTTCTTTGAGGACAGGAGGCGCTGGTTTAGTTCCTTCCGTGGGTTGTTTTGTGACTGGAGTACTGGGAGTTGTGACGACATTCAGCCTTGCTTCGCATCGAGCTTCCCCATTTTCATTGATCGCCACGCATTCGTACAAGCCAGCATCTTCTGACACGCTTTCCAAGATGAGCAAGGTGTACACTCCGTCCTCTTCGAGCATTTTGTAACGCAGATCTTGTCCCATCTTTCTACCATTCTGAAAGTACGCGATGAATAATGAGCGCATGGAGCTAATCAAGTGGGATATCTACCGGTCGAGGCTAGACGCCGCCCTGATGTACAAGGTTCTGGACCTCACATTTACCCCCCCCCCCCCCATTTTTTTTGTATTTGCCGGGAAATTCGGGAATCTTCAAAAGCTCAACAAAATGAAAAAGGCTGGAAGAGATTACAGTTATACAATATATGAGAAGTCCAATCACTTTTTTGTGGAGACTTCGACGAATATTTAGCTCCTAGGAATTCCCGTTTGCTTGAGGCTCTCTGATGGACATTTTGTCAATGTTTGGGTGCAGTCATTTATTTTTTGAAAGAAAGGTTTGTTTAAAACATATTCGTTTGTAGATGTCAACTCGAATTTAGTGGTGTGAATTATTTCCTCAACGATGATAAAGTTGCTTCACCAATAACGTTTTTGAATCCAGTAGGTAATATTTGAAGATTATTCGCCTATGACATTTTCTTTAATCTCAGAAATATACTTTTATATACGCAAATGGCCAATCATATTTCCCAATAAAATGTGTAGCTTAGAAGAATGCAAATTTACTGTATCACGATCCGAGATATCGTACTGATCTGCTGATGGTCAGGAGTCTCAGGACTCGGAAGGTAGATTTACTCTACATGGATTCTGTTTATAGATGCTTTTTGTCTGAAGAGGCAAAAAAAAAAAGTCAAAGAATGTGTAACTTTTTGAAGATGGATTGCAGCAACATACCTTAAGCCAGTATATGTCAATCGGCTGCGATCCAACGATTCGAGCGTCGAAACGGGCAAGTTGACCTGCTTGAACAGAGGATTCCTGAATCGTGGATGCGAAGTTAGGAGGAGCGGCGCTCTTTCTAGTTTTCTTCTCCTCGACAACCAGATTCGCACTACATTTTGCGGTACCCCCACGGTTCTCGGCGATCACAGCGAATACGCCCGAGTCTTCAATGAACACCTCTCTGATGACAAGAATACTTTTGGTTCCGAAAGTATGTATCTGAGAATAAATGAAAAATATATTTTCGGCGTTGATATTTTCCTCAGTCGAAAGCGGACCGCTGATGAGGACATACTTGTAGTTCTGGGGAACTCTGTATGGGGAAATCTTCCCTGAACCACTTGATGGCCGGCATGGGATCTCCGTCGAATTCCACCTCGAACCGAGCCTGTTCATTCTCGAAAGCTCTGCATGGTTGAATTTTCTTTGTGAAAACTGGGGGCTTCGCGGGTTTCTAGGCAATAAGTTCGACATAGATTATTGCTGTTTGAGTTGAAAACCAACGCATCTGAACACTCACGACTTCTCCTTGGACGAAGCGTTCTTGAGTCATTCCCTTGTGTTCAACTTCCGTTGTTTCGGTAGCAGTGATTTTTCGGGTTATTTCCGTATCGCCGCGGACCTGAATAATCAAAAGGCGTTTGAAGCTAGCTGCATGATACTTCGTCCTTGCGCGAAAAATAATATACATTTAACCAAGTATACGAGTATGGTACACAAATTGTGCAAGAAAGATACGCTTTTCAGTTGGAAGCCATGCATACCTCTTTCTGTGTTTGTTTTTGGATGTTGGTATGCACTTCTCTGCCGTGAACGGTTGACTCAGATGGTCCGGGAGCAGGTTGGATAGTTTGCTCAATATCATTCTGAACAAAGTCTCTCTCGACGATCCCAACACCTTGCTTGTCTTCGCTTCTGTAGAAGTGAGGAATAATTTGCTTCAGAGAGCATGATCATAATTTTTCCTCTGAAGAGAAAGCAAGCGTTCGAGAGAATGCAAAGGTTGCGCAAACCGTCATGCATCGTTTTTTTTTTTTTTTTTTTTCGGACAGAAACACTTTCTGGGGTACGGACTGTACGTGGTTCAGATTTTTACAGAGCATGACAGTCGCTGGATGTCTTGATCCATGCTCGGAAAGAAACCAGAAAAATGACAGTGGACACACTCTATCGCTCACGGATCTATAGAACGAACTTTCGGGGAGGGGAGGGGAATAAGAGACGCTTTTGCTCAACCGCTTCACCTTTTAAGCCGGTGATGAGACTTTCTTTTCTTTTTTGGCTTTTCGTTTGTTTCACTGAAATCAAAGAATAATGAATATGATATCTTTTGTTTGTGACATACAAGCATAGTGTTTCATTTGAGAAAATTTAGTTAGTTTGGACGAAACTTGAACATTATGTCTGTACGTACAGTTTTGATTCGTAGCTCGATGCCATTCCTTTAGCCAAGGAGGATTGCTGCCCTGGGATTGCAAATTGATGGCGTTCTCCGCGTAGTCTCGCTTCTTTCAGAACTTGATCGTCTTCAAGCTATGAAACACATATTTATCACTGTATGTAAATTTTTCTAAATCTGGGAAAAATAATGACAATTACCTGTTTGTACTGATTGTAGTAGCTATCGTTTTTCTTGCGCTTGACAGCCTGTTGCCACTCGGTTTCTGGCTCGCGAACCACCTTGGTGACCAAATGTTCACCAGTGGATTTTTCAGCGTGATGGACAACTGACAAATTTGTGGTAACTCTTTCTTCAAATTTGCGATCCAATTCGCTGTCCTGTCTGTCATTTTGGTATCCTTTGAGGTCATAATCATACCAGGCTGGAAGAGATCATTTTTCATTCGTGAAACTTGCTGATATAACGAGTCTGCTATATTTTCTAACGGTGCATATGGGGAACAAAAAGCAGAAGCTGCTGAAGCAGAGCTCAAAGAGCAAAAGGGCAAAAAGAAAAGGAGGAACGAAAGAGCATTCAAGTGGACGTAACCCATCCTACCAGAAGCAGCTCTGTCTCAGCAGTTCCCGGGATGACGGATAAAGGAAACACGGATTGACAGAAACCTTTTTCATGAGGCGGACGTACTAAAAAAAATGTCAGTGACCGAAACTGTTCCTTTTGGAGCCAGAACAGCAATTAACTGATTCGGTCGACACAATTATTACCACTATTTATGCGGACATCATGATCTACATTTTGGAAACGCTTAAGCGAGAAGGAATAGCGTTTCCTTTGCTAGCATCAAAAAATTGATTTTCTAGCAGGAAAAAAAACGAAAAACAAAAAACAGATGGATGCATGCATCATGCAACTTACAAGCTTGGGGTTCTCAAACAATGTAACTGTTGGCATCAGCCAAAGTTCCACAGGTACAGTATTTCGCCATAATCTAGAGATCATACCTCATAGTGAATCAAACACCTTGATGCCGTCAAATTGGGTCCAGTAGAGGAGACAGGATATCTTCAGCCAGTTTGGCATAAAGTGTATAGTATTCTTTGTCAAGGTTTGCATAGTGTATGTTGTATGTGGCGATATTATCGTATTCGTGTTCTCGTCATTTATTTCGAGCGACCAATGCTCTAAGAAACGATACGATCTTAGGAAAGACTCACGTCTCGGCGAGTTCTTCAGCACTGCTCGGTAGTCATCCATCTTCGGTTTAACCGCCAACGAAGTCGAAGCCACTGCTTCGCCCAAAGCATTTTTGGCAATAACTTGAATAGTACCCTGGTCGTATTGCCTCGATTTTGGGATATCCAAGTGCCACATGCCATCGTAGGTCAACTTGTATCGAGTGCCCTTGAAGGAAATGCGAGCACGTCGTTTCGCAGAGACGAACTGGGCAATGCAAACAATTTTTTCTTACGTTCATTATCGTGTGTCCATTTATTAGCCACATGACCCGTGGTCGCGGGTAACCGGTAACGCGGCAAACAAATCGCGCCCATTCCCCTTCCGCAACCGCGAAAGGCTCGGGTTTCAAGACAAATTGCGGTGCTTCTTTCTTGCGAGGGACATCTTCCGGCTCATCAGGAGGTCTATGACAGCAAACACTTTAGTTTCTGGGTCAGCAAACTTGATCAAAGACACTCACCTTTGCCATGCGGCTTCCATTTCCTGAATCTTCTTTACACTCTGCATCCCGGCGGGGAGCTGACTGTCATAGATGATTCCAGGCTTTCCAGCTGTCTTGATTACAGCTCTGGTTTCGTCTGATCCGTACAGATTCGTGGCTCTGCATAGGTATTCGCCGTTATCTTGCGGGTACACCCAGCCGAAATTCAATGCAACGTAGCCGAAGTCGTAGATGGGCGTGAATCGGGTTTCTAGAATAAAGAAATTAATGGTAATGTAATAAGAACATTTCCCCACAGAATTCACTCATTCTGCTCACTGAATGGAAGAGGTTTCCCGTTCAAAAACCATTCGACCTTCATGTTAGGATCACCAACCGGGGCTAGTTGGCATTCGAATTTGGTGGCATCCAGTTCTTTTAGCTCGAGTTGATCAGTTATTTGTGTGACAAACCTGAAGCGAAGAACCCAATTGCATGTACAGTAGTTTGAAAATTTCGAGCAAGAATCATTGTCCCGCAGCGATTCTAAGTTTTCTTTCGAATATTTTGCAGCGCTCTCTAGTTGAAGTAAAATTGATACCTTGGAGGCTGCTTTTTGTCGGCATCATAGATGTCCTCCTCTGTCAGCACAATATCTGACGTGTACTTTTTCAAGGCTGCTTCCATCTGAACGAGTGTTTCTGATTTCTTCATGCCCTTCGGCAGTTGGCTGACAAGCACGATGCTGGCGAAAGCTAGCAGAAAAAAGGATTGTAAAGGTTAAGCTGAATGTGGTGCCGTTACCCGGGAAAAATAAGTACCTTTGCAAGTGGTTACGCCCTTTGTGAAGTCTTCACCGTAGTCGTTGACAGCACGGCAGACATATTCACCGGAATCTTCCGAGTACGTGTACAAAATCTCCAGCGACACATGGCCGAACTCGAAGCTTGTCCTGAACCTATGTCCACTCTGAACAATCTTCCCGTTTCGATACCATTCGACTCTAAGCTTCGGATCGTTGACTGGCTCCACGCGACATTCGAAAATGCAACGTTCACCCTCAGCGACCTCAATGCTTGTAATCTGTATTTCGAAACGAATTAGTCCGGAAAATTCTTTGAAAGCCGCCAATATCCTCCAGCTTACTTGCTGAACAAATTTAGGAGGACCGAGAGGTTTGTCTTCTTCTGGCGCTGGAGCTGCTACGTGCTCCTCGAGAGATTTCAGCTTTTCCGCTGACATTCCCGACGGCAGTTGAGAGTCCATGATCACACCGTGCTTTGCTGTTTGCACGAACCGAAAAAAACCGATTACAACAACGCACCAGGATGTCGACGAAAAAAAAATTAGCTCAGACGGACCAACAAAGTGACTATCACTTCTGTGCTGCTTACATGGGGGAATGATAAGTGAAGCAAAATTACGTGCACAAGGGGAACAAATCGGGGAAAGTGGCGTCGTTACGCTCACACAGAAGTCAAAACACACATCATGCAATACGTTTCCGATATGCGTTGTGGATACTTGTGTCGTTTGCCTCTCCCTATTTTTTTTAACACTTGGTCACCAATTATTACCTGATTCACGCACGCTTAACTCTAGTGTCTCAATATCTTCGCCGTCGCTCGTATAGTTCGATTCCTCTTGATCACCCACTCGTCTTCCATCATTATGATAGAGGGGATCATAATAAAGCTGCGTTTGCAGCGTATTCCCGGTGATTTTTTTGGGTACAGTTTCTGTCGAGAATTTTTTCGCCGGATTTTCACACTGAATGAAGAGGAATTCGGTTGTATGTGAGGGAGTATCCTTCTTCAAGCCCAATGGGACTTCAATGTTGATGGTACCGTTCATCAGCGGTTCTTTCGAAGATGCATCTGATAAAGAGCCATTTTCAGTATTTTTAAAATCTGGAATTCTCTCTTTGAATTTGAGTCCCTTCACCGACAGCCCAAAGAAAAAGTATCGGATTAGCTGAAGTCTATTTAGGCGGAGAAGCTCACTTTGAAAATCTTTTGAAGCGTAAATAGATCAGGAATTTTGGAAATGAAGAAAATTTCCCGGACACCTGGAGTGTGTGATTAATATGCTGCATTAACCCACAACCAGAATTGAAGTGAGCGGATTTAAAATTCTACCTGGCTGAACAAGAACATCTGTCAGTCCATGTTTATCCAAGAACTTCGAATATTCATCTGCAAAGGAAAACACATTCTATTGAAAATGCTATATAGTAATGGGAAAACATGGTTCATTGAGTTAATTATGGACCTAAACCTCATTTTAGTGCCGAAACCCCAACCAAGCCGACCAGGCATTGTTTCATTTTGAGGCATCCCGTTTTCTGCATTTTTAGCCCGTTTGCGAACCCTGCCGTGTCGATGTTGATATTCAAATCTACACATGCTCATTACATGCTTGAAAAAAATTCTCCGACGAGATGAAGTGTTTAAAAAATTCAGAAGGAGAGCTTTCATTTGAAGCGTCTGCAAAAATCGAGCAAGGGCTAGCTCACCAATTATTGCCGTCCAGCATGCAATCGAGGTTAAGCAAAAAACACGGTAAAGCGTTACTCGATAATTTGTTCAATCATCATTGGTTAGGTTAATCTGCTATTAAGAAATACCTTTGCAGGAGAACTTTGCTTTCGTTGTTGCAGATCCCCATTTGTTTGTCGCTCTACACACGTACTCTCCGGAATCCCTGGGGAATGTCCAGTCGATATCCAAGACAACGAAACCAAAATCGTCGATCATGTGAATTCGAGACCCAGCATCAAGCAAGTGACCGTTGTGGAACCACTCGATTTTCATGGTTGGATCTCCAACCGGCTCCACGCGGCAGTCGAAATGAGCCGGGGCACCCTCAGGAACTTCGGCAATATCCTGCGAAAAAGGACACATGAGTCATAATCGCGAGCTTATCAAACGCTCCAAAAGGAAGTCGCAAACCTCAATTTCGGTGATAAATCTGGGAGGATTTGGCTTTTCGTCCTCAAAAACGGCCTCCTCGCGCCTGTAAAGATTTTCTTCAAGTTTCTGCAGGCTCTCTGTGCCGGTCTGGAATTTCTTCGGAAGCTGAGGCTCCAGAATGATGCCGGTTCTTCCTTTCACGGCGAGTTGACAAGAAACGGTGGCTTCACCGTGACGATTCGTCGCCTGAATGGTCAGGTAAGCCTCAGGTAAGTTGATCATGAATCTATATTTTAATTCGACTTTTCATGCTCGTACCTTGCAAACATACATCCCAGAATCTCGCTGATAAACCCCGCCCATTTCCAGAATCACGAAACCAAAGTCGTTGATAGTCTTGATTCTTGAACCAGCAGCCAGAGGTTTACCATTGTGGTACCATTCGATCTAAGAAAAATGTTGAACTTAATTTCTTGAGCTTAATTCCATCCTTGCTCGCGTTAAAAAAAGTCAAAACGATTTTTATTATTATGCAGGATTCAAAAATATTTTTTTAATGTTTGGCAGTCAAAAATGACACGGAGAAAACTGCACAGAAAGTAGACGATGAGGGAGAAAAGCCCGCCAAAAAAGAGCACGAGAGAAAAATACTGCGAGCAAGAAACAACGACAGGAATACAGCACAGTAGAAAATGCTGGACGTAAAAATTTGTTGCTGAGAAAAATATAAATCTGGAAAATTCTGCAAGGTAAAAACGCTGATGAAAATATTAAAGACGCAAAGGAGAAATTGCTGCAATGGACTGTACACGTGAAGCCTGAACAGAAAAGTTGTTTTAGGCACGTCGTTTAATACATTTTAAAGGAAAACCGAGAAGTTCACAATATTATCGTATTCCAAACTTTTTCTGAGGCATTTTCTCCTTGAATCTATCTCGGCATCTTCTTCATCCTCCCGTTTATTTTGCTTCTCGCAGATTTGAACCTCGAAATTTATTTTTCATCAGAATCTTCATTAAATATTATTTTCTGAGGGGAATTTCATGGATGAAAATTTGTGGTTCACTGACATTCATGCTGGCATCATTCACGGGCTTCAGCTGAGCCTCGAAATGAGCAAGACTATTTTCAGCCAGAGTCAAGTCATTTGGTTTGGTAATGAAAGTCGGAGGTTGCCCTTCATCAGGAGCTGATGATTCTCCCGGAGTTCTTGGAGCGAGCCCCTCAAGCTCGGCAATCTTTTCCATGCCCTGCCGCATATCTTTCGGTAATTGCGAATCCAGAATGATGCTCCTCTTGCCTGAAAAATTGCAGTACGTGCTAATGAAGTTTTTCACAGAATAAATAATTGTATGCATACCGGAGCATGTCAGCTTGGCTGATGTCACGGCCTCGCCGTACAAATTAGTAGCACGGCATAAGTAAATTCCCGAATCTTCAGGGTAAACAGGCGACATCTCGAGAATTACGAATCCGAAGTCGCACAGGGTGCGGATTCGTGAGCTCGCTTTCAAGGGCTTCTCATCTTTAAACCACTCGACCTATGCGAAATAAGGCGATTCACAGCGCTTACAATATAGCCGGATTCTAGGTATAAAAAAATTATATGCTCGAACGAATCATTAATCAAAATACCTTCATGTTGGGATCATTCGTCGGGGCAAGCTTCGCTTCAAAGTGAGCATTCTCTCCTTCACGGAGTCCGTCAATGGTATCCAGCGGCTTGGTAAATACTGGTGCCTGGCGTTTGATTTCTTCCTCGACTGACGAGCGGGCGAATCTAGAAGAATCTTCCAGATCACGGATTTTTTCCAGACCACCCTTCATATCCTACGAAGAGAAAATAGTGTGAAGGACCGGAGGGTGGTACCCGAAAACCATGCCCGAACCTTGGGCATTTGTGGATCAAAGATCAGACTAGCTTTTGAAATGCAAGTCATTGAAGACTTCGTTCGATCCTCTCCAAGCTTATTGACAGCTCTGCATTCGTATTCACCCGAGTCTGAGTCATAGCAATAAAGGATGTCCAGGATGACAATCCCGAAATCGTGGAACGTGCGGAATCTATGTCCCGTCTGGAGTAGTTTTCCATTGTGGTACCATTCAACCTGAAATAAAAAATTTGTTTCCGTTCATCAGACTCGCGGGAATTTTCAAAGTTTACACCCACTTTGAGATTCGGATCGTTTGTCGGTGTGAGTCTCGCTTCAAAATGAGCGCTTTGTCCTTCAATTATTTGCGGAAGCTCGATGATCTGCGTGATAAATTTCGGCGCTTCCAGCTTGTCTTGGGGCAGCGGGGTTTGCGGTGCTGCCAACTGTTCCAATGCTCTTATTTTCTCCAGTGCTTGCGGTTGAAGGGATTCGCCCTGGACGCCAGCCTTCACTAAGCAATGCAGCACTGCTTTCGTCGTGTCTGTCCCAAATCTGGATTTACAGGGAAGAGCATACATTTCAAGGCAGGGCAACATTCAGTCCGTTTCCATTGGCTTCAATTTCGGTTCAATAAGTTTAAATCATGATAATGAAGCTGCAGAAATACTTTGAATCGACTCTTTCATTAAGATGCGCTGGCTTTCCCGGATACCCTTTGCTTCGTCTGAAACTTGGAATATTTCAAGCTGAAATAACGTTTATACTCAAGAATAGGTTAACCAAGCGGGAAATACTTTTGTAGAAAATATTAGGGGCAATGTAACACTTACTTGTTGGTTGCTTTACAAATGTATTCCCCGGCGTCTTGAGATTGCACTGAAGAAATATCCAAAACAACGAAGCCGAAGTCGGCCACAGTTTTGATTCTGTTCGATTGGCGAAGAGTGACTCCATTGTGGTACCACTCGACATGCAAGTCGGGATCTCCGATTGGAACCAAGGTGCACTCGAAATGCGCAGACTCATTGTCTCTGAGGCCAACAACGTCTTTGAGTTGACTAGTGAATTTCGGTCCTTGCCCGTAGTGGCGAGTGACGCAGCCCAAAACGACGCTGATCTCGTCTTTGCCCCATTTGTTTGTTGCTCGGCAACTGTATTCTCCAGAATCAGCAATGGTGGTGCCCAAAATTTCTAGCACGACCATGCCGAAAGCATGGACTGTCCTTATGCGATGACCAGCGCGCAGAGGATTGCCATTATAGAACCATTCGACGACCATGTTTTGATCTCCGGCAGGAGTCAACGACGCTTCGAAATGAGCCAGTTCACCCTCCGACAAATTGGTGAGATTTTCGAACTGTTAGCAAAAGCAGAGTTGAGAATTCAGCATTGTATGTATAGAGACGCCAGGACCACAATACCTGAGACGTGAACTTGGGTGGTTTGCCCTCGTCTTCTTTTGCCATTGCTGGCTGGGCTCTCTGCAGCGATTCCTCGAGATTCTGGATTTTCTGCAAACCTTCCTTCCCTTTCGGGTGCTGCGTGTCTTCAATCAAGCTCCCCTTCTCTGTGGGTTATTTAGGCAATGTTTGACTTTCTGCATGAAGAGTGGAAATTAAAGCGAGACGTACCCGTGCAAACAATCGTCGTCGACGTGAACGCCTCGCCTACGGCATTCTTCGCGCGGCAAGTGTAAATACCGGAGTCTCGTTGGTAAGCATCCAATACGTCGAGGGTGACCAAGCCGAAGTCATATCTAGTAACAAAGCGAGATCCTGCAAACAAAAAGAAAAGAAAAAGAAGGAAAAGTTTTAGGATTGAAGGATTTGAATTCGCTGATAGGAGTGCAACCTTGTGCATTCGCTGGTTTGCTTCTCGAGAACATTTTCGTTCTGAGGTCGGTCAAAAACGTCAGAAAGGAACGCCATTTTCAAAAATATTGGATAATATTACCAAGAAATATTTTTAGCACCTGGCGATCTCATCATGCATTTCACTCACCTGCATCCAGGGCCTTTCCATTGAAGAACCATTCAACCGCGAGTTTCGGGTCGTTCTTCGGTTCTACTTGGCACTCCAGATGCAAAGGCTTGCTTTCTTCCACCAAAAATTGAGGATTCAGAGGTACTATGAACTCTGGTTTCTTCATCGGTTCGTCTCGTCCGGAAACATCAGCCGGCTTGGATTTTTCGGCGAGGTCCCGTTCCAGGTCATCTATCTTTTCCAGACCTGCTTGTCCAGTGGGATGCTGGGTATCCAGGTAAACTCCACTCTTGCCTGAGTGGATTTTAGTATTTTAATCGCATGCAGTTTCTCAAAATAAATGTTACCCTTACTCAAAACTCTCAGGGAACCAGTAGTAACTGCTTGTCCCTTCGAATTCGTGGCTTTACACGTGTAGACACCAGCGTCATCTGGCCAGCAATGCTGGATGTCGAGAGTGATAAATCCAAATTCGCACTTCGACGTGAAGCGTGAAGCCGTCGGCATAGGCTTTCCGTTGATGAAGAATTCTGAAAAGCGTTTCAAAATAGTCGTGACGTCGCTAACTTCGTGATTTCCCTCTTTCGTGGTCATTACAGTCATTGGTTTCAACCCTATCCGAAGCATAGGCCAAAACGTAGATTATGGCAGAAAACACTTGAAACATTGAAGTCCTGTTAAAATTGCATCTTAGCATAGCGCTGCAGCACAGTCATAAGTCATGACTCACGAGTTCTGCGTGTGCGGTTTATTTATTGAACAGTACTCGAGTAGTCGAGCTTTTAAGTTTACTAAAAGAAGGCAACAAGTTTCTAGTTTACCCCTCCTTCTTATTCTCGAAAAGTTTCATTGTCTTGCGGCCCATACCCTTTTCCCCCCTCGATTCTAAGAGTAATGTATATCGTCCAAAATCAGTGAGTGGCATCAATCTCGTAAATATGGTTGTTCAAAGAAAATCATTCAAGTACCAGCTTTGAGGGTTGGATCCCGGGAAGGCTCAACTCTGCATTCAAAGTGAGCCGCTTCTTCCTCCTTAATTTCCACGTTATTCAAGTGCGTCAAGAAAACTGGCCCTTCGTAGTCAGGCTCTGGAACTCCAGAAACTGGATGTTCCGGGAAGGTCTCGAGTTCTGTGATTTTGTGCATCGCTTCCGGATGGAATGTATCCCCGACGACTCCACCTCGTCCTGAATTTATTGAAAACGTTAGACGTGAACCGCGTGGAATGCAATTTATCCGCCAGAAAAACGCACCTTCAACTTTCAAAGTACACGTGGAAACAGCCTCGCCCAATTTGTTAGTGGCTTTACATGTGTAAATTCCAGAGTCATCAGGTCTCACACCGATGAGGTCCATGGTCACCAGACCGAAGTCAAACGTGTTTCGCATACGCGACCCTTAAAAACACCAACTAATCCCCAAAATCCACTCTCCAAATACGAAGAGCAGGAAAAACGTACCTGATCCAAGAGCAATGCCGTTCTTGAACCAATCAATGCGCAATTCAGGGTCGGTTTTCGGCTCGACTCTCGCCTCGAGATGCACGTTTTGCCCCTCAATAAGCTTGTCGTGGGATTCCAAGTTTTCTGTGAAGTGTGGTGGTGACTGAGGACCGAGTTCAATGAATGGTTCCATGGACTTGCCCATGTCTGCTTCCCTAGCTTGGATCGCTTCCCAGCCCTTCGGATGCAATGTTGAGCCCAGGATGGAAGATCGTGCTGCAAATTTAGGCCATCAGGCATTAATAAATCAATTCGATTACTGTAGTAAAATATCACTCTAGGGCTTTGTGAGAGATCATAAATTGCGTGCAGTGGAAAAACTTGATTCCATATAATGCTTTCAACAGCTGAGACAATCGAATTGCGCAACTCATTCTAGCCCAAAATTTGTTTCTAGTTCAACATACCTGTTTTCATTCATCTTTATAATTGAACGTTTTCAAATAATCCAGATTTTTGGGAATTACCTAAATGCTTGAGTGTCCTTATACAGGCACTTTTTCGATACCATATTTAGTATTCTGAAATACAATATATATTTCAACCTCTAGGTAATATTTGCTTGATTTCGTGCTTCATGTACGAGGACATTTTCAAATATAAGTAAAAATAGAAAAAAATATTGAATATCATCTAGTACAGGGATCACAATTTTTAGCCTCATTTGTTTGTCATTAATGCCCTGAAACGGATACCATATTATTTCGAATATAAAATTAAGGATCCCCCAAGATTATACAAATCACACTTCAGATGGATACAAATCAAAGTTACAAGATCACGGATGATGTGACGTGCGAAGAGGAATTGAAAGCATGGTCATCCCCAACCGATGACAAGTTCCAAACCATAACTTGATAAACCCAGTACAGTTCCAAATCAGCATTTTTTTTTCTGACTGATCCCAGAAATGCATTGAAATGAACAGAAAAGTACTGGATAAGTCGTGTCTCAGGTGTTCAAGGGAGGCATTTTTGAGCATGCAATCGTTCCAGCTGATTTTATCGAGAAGATGAAGCTGACCAACTACGAAATGGACAGTTCTTACCTAGAATTCTGATTGACGTAGACGTCACCGCTTCTCCGACATTATTGACGGCCTTGCACATGTACACGCCGGCATCCTCCGGAATGACGGAATTAACATCAAGTGTGACGAGTCCGAAGTCGTGAGTGGTGCGGAATCGCGTCCCTGTTACGGACAATACCAGTTAATTCAATGCAGAAGAAAGAACCAGGGAAAAGAATACGTGAGTACATAGAAGGAAGTTAAAATCACAGCATGAACCTGCTGGATTACCTGAATACTGCAGAAAATCCGGGTGAAGCAACACGTGAGGACCATCTAGATGGTGACAGGAAGCGTGCCATTGACGTAGTAGTAACACCAAGTTTGTTAAAAATACGAAAATGAATCGAACCGAATTAATCAACAGATGGTGCGATGTCAGATGTAATATCGGGTGTACTATGTTGGGATCCAACCAAAGAAGCGTCAAGCTATGTACGAGATGTTAACCAATCGAATACACAGTACTGTGAAGTCCACGCAATGGAAAATAATCCTTTGCATGCCAGCAAAGGTACTGCCATATAATCGCCAAGATATTTACCGGTTGCCAGGTGGACTCCGTTGATGTACCATTCAATGCGAAGGTTCGGGTCACCGATAGGTACCACGCGGCATTCGAAGTGCGCATGTTGACCTTCCATCAGCTCTTGCTGACCAGTGAGTGGCGTGACGAAAACGGGCTTCTCGAAAGCAATTTCGCGATCTTCGGGCATTCCCGGTCCTTTGGCGGACTCGAGCTCTCGAATTTTCGCGAGACCCTCTGGGTGCTGACTTTCGAGATCGATTCCTGCTTTGCCTAAGGATGAAGAGAATTTCCGTACAGCTGTTACGAATGCTGCTTTAAAAACATATTAGGGATATGAAAACTAAAAAAAATAACTTTACCTTCAGCAGGGCCAAGTTCTCCAGATCGTTAAAAATTAGGAGTGTCTCAAAGATCGCGTCGAGGTTTTATACGATGCAAGAACCTACATTTTGTTTGACATCATGAGGTTGAAAAATTCAAGCAGAGAGAAAACGCTGAGGAGGGGAAATATCGAGGAGAAAATGGAGAAACCGTGTGTAAGAGAAAACGCGGGAGGGGAAACAAAAAGCGTAAAACAGAGGATTAATGCAATAAAAATAAAGCTAGGAATTGTCAGGAGTAAATAATTCCGAGTAAAAAAATATATCACCGGGTAGGAAATATTCCGCGAAAAATCATGAGAATAAGGGAAAAATCAGTTTAAAATGCATATTGAATTCAGGAAGTAAAAAATAATTATGTGTCTCTCCGCGACTTTTTTCCGAAAAATATTTTCCAGCTCTATATTTTTCTCTTCCATCTTCCTCTGCACTTTCATCTCCATGTCGACATTTTTTACCCAGCGTTCTCATCTGCCACACGTTTTTTTTCATTTTTCTCATCCACGTTTCGAACCGTTTAGTGTCATTCCTCTTTCGAAAAGGAATGCAAATACAGTAGCATAAAAGACTTACTCTTAATTTTAATGGAGGCTGTTGTAACTGCTTCTCCAAGCTGATTAGAAGCGCGGCACATGTAAACACCTTCATCCTCGGGGCGCAAGTACGTGATGTCCAAGGCAACATAACCGAAGTCGTGCGTTTTTTGGATCCTCGAGCCTGTGATACCGATTGTGTGTAATGGCAAATTTGAAGGAGCCAGATTTCTCAAACTCACTCGTCTCAATCGGCATCTCATTGCGGAACCACTCCACCTTAAGAGTGGGGTCACCAACCGGAATAAGCCTGCATTCCAAGTGAGCATTTTGCCCCTCGGCGAGACTGTCGAGATTCTGCAACGGCGAAGTGAACACTGGCCTTTGGAACGTCTTAACTTGGTCCAAGTCTGGCCGAGTGAATTTGTCCATGGACTCGAGCTCTTTGATTTTGTCCAGTCCTTGAGGATGCTGAGATTCTGAGATGATACCGCCTTTTCCTGTAAACACAATCGCAAGCTCCGCACTAAATCATGTTTTCCGATTATTTTCAGAAGAACAAGTTTACCTTCAATGCTAAGGCGGATCGAAGTCTGATCCTGGCCAAGGTCATTGATGGCCTTGATGGTGTAGTTACCCTCGTCAGATGGCAAGACGTGCATGATGTCGAGGGCGACATACCCGAAATCGCAGGTGACGTGGAATCGCGACCCCGCCGGCAACAATTTATCGTTATGGTAAACCTCAAGTCGGAGCTTGGGGTCGTTTGTGGGTTCTAGGCGGCACTCGAAATGTGCATTCTGGCTCTCTGCCAAGCTGTTGCTGCCTTGCAATGGGGTCACGAATTTAGGCGGCGTCAGCGGCGACTCGGGGAGTTCTTGGGGCCCTGGCCTCGCCATACTTTCCATTTCCCGAATCTTTTCCCAGCCCTCTGGGTGCTGGCTGTCCAAATAAATACTCTTGCGGGCTGCATATGAGAGATAAACACATGCAAGCGTCTCCGTCACTTAAATACATTTTCTTCAGAACATTTCACAACATCGTCATTTACAAACTTCGAGGAGCGTTCCCTACTAAAAGCAAACTTCCGCGTATACTCTGAGGAAAATCTGTCACGCATAGAGGTCGCTCCTTAATTCGGCAAAGAAACGCCTTGTCATAATGGCATACAGTATCTAAATATTTTTCGGATTATGGTATAATCCCAAGTTTACACATTTTAAAAGTTGCATTTTTTAATCAGGCGTGTTCAACTTCAGTTTTTATTTTTACGGCAGCCGATATAGTTTTCCCTTGAATGGCGAAAATTGGGTTATGGACAATAATCCTTTAAATATTCAAAGTTTATCGATGAATTCATAAGTACTCCTAAAAAATAGGGGTTTCAAACTTTCCGCGGATTTTCCCACATTAAAAAATCATGGCATTGTTCAGAATGTTCGCGAACGCCAGTCTGGATACAACTTCCACCAGTGATTCGCACACACATTTTAGAAAAGCTTTGTTGCGGTTATTCCGGTTTTGCTCATGTACTGTACGTTTCCTCACATCCAAGAAAAAAAGAACTAATTATTCGATTTCAACTTAGAAATGACCCTATTGATGATTCACCGCAGTGTCAGCAGGAAGATGAAGCATCGAGCATTGGAACGGTGTTCGATGATCAGTTATACCACTTACACGTGACTTTGATGGTGCATGTGTTGACCGCTTCCCCGAGTTCGTTAGTTGCCTTGCACATGTATGTCCCACTGTCCTCTGGATACGTGTACAAGATGTCCAAGGCTACATAACCGAAGTCATGCACGGTTCGATAACGATGTCCCGTTTTGAGCTGAACTCCATTGACGAACCACTCTACTTTGAGTTTCGGGTCGTTCAACGGTTCCAAGCGGCACTCAAGATGAGCATGATCGCCTTCCTTGAGTTGATCCAGGCTGCAGGGAAAAATCATATGTTCAGAATAAATTTCAGAGGAAAAAAAATATATCTAAAGGCAAACCTGTTTAGGGGAGTCACAAATTCGGGTCTCTTCGCCTGTAGAGCCTCTTCTTCTGCAGGTTTTGGTGCCGCGGCTTCGAGTTGCCGAAGTTTCTTCAGCCTGTCGGCGTCCATGGTTTCGAGGTAAAGGCTTTGCATTCCTTGTACAGTGACAGCACAAGACGTGACCGCCTCGCCATTTTTATTCTGCGCCTTGCACATGTAAGTTCCCGTGTCCTCCGGATAGGCATACAAAAGGTCAAGTGCCACGAACCCGAAGTCATTTTGTGTTCGGAATCGGTGACCTGTCATACATTGCATGGTACTCGTTGTTATCACAGATTCAAGAGTTGAGTGCAGAATAGTTGAGAAATTACCTTGCTGGATGGGTCTACCATTGCAGAACCATTGTACTTTCATGGTCGGATCATGAACTGGAGTCAATGTGGCTTCGAGATGGACGGGGTGCCCTTCAACAATGTTTTCTTGGGCGCGGAGTGGGCGTGGGAACTCAGGCTTTTCACTGACGTCTAATTCTTGGTCAGACGTGGGCTTGTGTCGACCATGTTCCAGCTGCTGCAGCTTTGGCATCGCATCGGGATGCTGCGAATCCAAGATCAACTGCCCACGAGCTGTAAAAAATATGTTTGTGACAATTAATGCGGGAGATTATTCTAAAAAAAATTGCTTACCAGTGACGTTAACTTTAATGGCAGACGACGCAGTTCCGAGCTTATTAGTTGCCTTGATGACGTATTCACCACTGTCTTCAGGGTAAATATCCAGGATGTCCAGAGCAGCAAAACCGAAGTCATACATTGAACGATAACGGTGTCCTGCAAAATATTTTTTCCTCATTATAAATGCAGGAAAAATTGTGCAGGGCAACTAAAATGACCCGATTGAGGTAACCGAAGATTGATCAAGTATGCGTAAGAAAAAATGCATTTGTTAACGTTTAGAAGCGTTTTCTTCGTGTCATCTTCATGTAAAATCGCTTTAAGATGAAACGGAAGTCTCATGTAAAATAAGTGGCATATTTAGGAGCATAATATGGCTTACGTCGGGCTGATGTCTCAGAAATGTATCACTTACCGACACTGAGCGGCTTTCCATTGAGGAACCATTGAACGGTCATCGACGGATCCGGATATGGTTCGATACGGCATTCGAAATGAGAGCTCTGACCTTCTTTCAAGTCAGTAGTGCCCGTCAATGGGGTAATGAACACCGGAGGTGAGGTTACCTCGATATCTTCATCAATATTTGTCGTGAGACGTGATGAATCTTCCAGATGTCGGATTTTATCCAAAGAGGCAACGTTGGAGGTTTCCAAAAGTAATGATGCCCTCGCTGTTGACGAATAGTTCGTTCGAAATTCATTAATCAGGTGCTTGGTGTTATTACATGTTTTACTTCGTCCACTCACATCTAACGACTAATCCAGCGGACGTTGTTGCCGAACCCAATTGATTCGTAGCCTTGCAAGTATATGTTCCGGAATCTTCCGGATAAGCGTATTTCAAATCAAGCGCAACGAAGCCAAAATCGTGCATTGTGCTCACGCGAGATCCTAAAACATTTTTGGGAAAAGGGTGATCAATTTCGTGCATCCTAAATCAGAGCTGCACTTCTTTTCTACGAAATTCCGTCCAAAAAATTGGATGCGTCATGTAATACTTGAATATTTCTGCCGCCACACAGTCTCTTGAAAGCGGTCTACTCTCCAGATTATATACAGTATCTAAAAGAGGAACAAATGGATTCACGGAAAATTTAGAGATTTTCCTTCTATTTCGATCGCATAAAAAACAATTTTCTTTGTACTTTTAGCTCTTTTTCTTTATGAAATCCTTTCTCAAAATTATGATTTCGCGTATAATTGTGTGCGGCTTGAAATCACGCAGATAGACGGAATTTTAAATATGGTGTTGCATAAGTATATGTACCTAGAGGAATCGGCAGGCCATTCCTGAACCATTCCACTTTGAGGTTCGGGTCACCGACAGGTATCAGCCGGCACTCGAAGTGCGCAGGATCATTTTCTTTAAGCTCTAAATTTTTCATGGGCTGTGTGAAAACAGGTGGTTGACTAGTGCTCTCATCGACAGGAGCCGGAGCCCGGTACGATTGATATTGCTCCAACTGACGAATCTTCTCGAGAGCTGCTTCACTCTGAGCCTCCATATAAATGGACTTCCGGCCTGATAAAATATTCAAATGTAAGTCATGAACAATTTTTTTTATGATTTCCGGTTGCTCACCATCAACCATCAGCGAGCAAGAGGTGACAGCTTCCCCAAGGGCATTTCTGGCCCGGCAAGTGTAAGAACCGCTGTCATCTCCCAAACAGTCGAAGATATCGAGAGCAGTGAAACCGAAATTTAGACTTTCGGTGAAACGAGACCCTGGGAAAAACCTCGTAGATGTGAGAAATTAAAAAGGGCATGCAACTTTATTTCACACTAACCAGATTTAACAGGTTGACCATTGTGGAACCATTCGACCACCAACGTTGGGTCTGAGACCGGGATGAGACGGCATTCGAAATGGGCTCTCTGACCCTCTCGGATTCCGATATTCTTTAAGGAGCTCGTGAAAACCGGTGGCTGAGTCGTAGTTTCTTCCATCATTTCCGATCGATTGTACCTGGATCTGTCCTCCAGGTTTTGAATTTTTTGCAGCTGCTCTTGGTTCATGGTTTCCATTAATATTTGCGAGCCACCTGCGTGAATTGAGTGCATATTAGATTTAAATATCAACGAATCGCGACATACCTCTTTTATATAACTGAAGTTGTTTAAGGTCCGAGGATTTTACTTATCAGGGAAAGCCGTTGGAAATTGAACTGAAAACTATATTTCCAAATCTGTTCATAATGACAAATACCTTCCTAAAATTGTTTTTTTAACGACGAAAGCCAATATACACGACTGCTTTTTGAATTTTCCTTATATTTTTAACGACATTTAACAGAACCCTGGGAGATTCGTTGTGACGGACATTTATTGCATCTAAAAACTTTCAAGACCGATTTAATTTTGCAAGAAAAATCCATCACCTTGCACCACAAGGCGACAGGATTTCTCATCTTGGCCTCCGAAATTTACAGCTTTGCACGTATAAATGCCGGTGTCTTCTGGGATCAGATCAATGACGTCCAGAGCTACGTAACCGAAGTCATGGATCGGCCTGAAGCGGTGACCTGTACAGGAAGAACGATCATGCGATTGAATACTCCCATCGCGTTGCAGGTTGAAAATAATTCGACAAACCAGCAGAAAGTGGTCTTCCATCCTTGAACCACTCGACCCTCAAATCAGGGTCAGCCACTGGCTCCAAGCGAGTTTCCAGATGAGCATGCTGCTGCTCTCGCAAATGAAGTTGATCCTTCAATTCCGATAAAAATCGCGGCCGTACCTACAAATTATATTCGGAAGAACTTTGTCACACATTCTGTAATCACGATCTAGCGAAGATGAATCCCAATCACCTTCATCACTTCTTCAACCCATTCCTTGCGCTGATAGCGGCTGGCATCTTCTAGCTGTTGAATCTGCACTAAACTTTCCGGATGCTGGCTTTCCAAGATCAGATCTTTCTTTGCTGCATGATACAAGTTTTTGAGAAAAACGAAGATCATTGAAACAAAACAAAAAAACTTACTGATGCATTTGACTGAAGCTGACGTAATTGCTTCACCGATTCTATTTCGGGCCTTACACGTATAAACACCTGAATCTTCGGCATAAGAACTCAAGATGTCCAGGGCAATGTAATCGAATTCATGTGCAGGACGGAATCGATGTCCTGCAGGAAAGGGGAAAAAATTTAGCTCATTCTATTTTATGAGTACCGTACAAGTACAATTTACTCGAATACCACGCCTCCTGGTATGACGCACGGCAAGGTTTTTATGGAGAAAGCTGTGAAAATTATCTGTAAAAACCACTGATAAATCTTACTCGATCATGACACGCAGTACTTTTCTTTGCCAAAATTCGAGGAAATATTTGCGCGTGGTATTCGGGTAAATGCGGGAAATCGAACTTTTTTTGGTACTGTAATCTTTTCTTTTCTTTTTCTTGTTTTTCTTACCGACGGGAATCGGTTTCCCATTGACGAACCACTCAACGCGCATGCTCGGGTCACCGACCGGCTGCAGCCTGCATTCCAAGTGTACATTAGAGCCCTCCACTGTCTCAATGTTATGCAAAGGTCTGACAAAGGTCGGGACTTTGTTAAACGTCACGTCCTCTTGGACCTCTCGCTGGTAACGAGACGAGTCCTCCAGCATCGAAATCTGTTGCATGGCGGCTTCGTGTTGCGTTTCCGACAATATATCGCGCTCTCCTATGACCTTTGGGGCGGAAGGCAACCCACAAAATTGTAGGTCAACTCGCTTTTACGATAAAAATTCCAGTCAATGATTTATCTCTTACTCTGATCATCGTTGATGTGTGAGCGGAGCCGAGTTGATTAGTAGCTCGAACGGTGTACTCCCCGGTGTCCTGAACAGTGGTGGAAGAAACGTCCAGAGCGACGTAACCGAAGTCAAAGTATGTTCTGAATCGAGATCCTAAAAAGCAAGAAGTAGTCTAATTATATTCAAAATCGAAAAATTCAAAACCAAAAACGCGTTTGAAAATCCAAAACTTGCTTGTTTCGTGGATTTTGCGTCAAAAGGGGTTGGTTTTGATTCATTAATATAGCAATTAGTTGCCTTCACCAAAAAGGAAAACTTTAAAATATATTCCACAGTGCCGGTCTGGAAAAAGGCTTAATTGGTTAATGGCATTTGCATGATCCTACACAGCTTCCGTGGACTGCATATGTATAAAGAGCACGCACAAAATCGTTTCGAAGATGCTGCGATTCTTTCTTCGAGAAGCCGGGACGAGGGTACAACAAAAACTCTAGTCATTCGGCAAAGTTAAATTTTTTTCTCAAGCCAATCGGCACATATTTTCAAGTATTTCTCACCTTCATAAAGTATGCAATCCGAATATTATTTAAACATTTTAGGAAAAATTTTTTACGAATGAAGTGCAGCGCGATCACTAGAACTTTTTTATGCATTCATTCATTTCTTGCAGCATGTGAATGTGCCTGAATTGTTAGGAAACGATTTTTAATGTGTTTTTCACGCGAGGAAATCTATGGTGCATCAAAAATACCGGAGAACTCATTTGATTGAATCGTATCAACTGGCATCATCGGTTATTGAGGCTGAAAACGATAATGTTCAATAATTTGATGAGCTTAACTTTGACGGGGGTTATTATATTGACAGTTCAAAATCATGACATACCGACAGTGATCGGGCGTCCATTGAGGAACCACTCAACCCGCATTCGTGGGTCACCCATGGGCTCTAGGCGGCATTCGAGGTGAACGTTTCCTCCCTCGTGTATCGGTGAATGTTCTGTGAGAGGCTGTACAAAAACCGGCTTCGATTTTGAGATTTCTTCAATCTCGTAATGGGGTTCTTGGTGTGCCGGCGCCTCGTGAACCCGCGTCTTCTCGGTAACACCCTTGTGCATGCTGGTCGTGTCAACGCCAGTTCGCCCTGGGGACAGTAAATCAGCAGCACCGTATTTTGAAATGCATAATGAGCACTTTCATAGATGAGATCAATTACCGTGAACGTGCATGTTGGCTGACTGGTGAGCCTCGCCCAAGGCGTTTCTCGCGACAGCGGTGTATTCACCTGCGTCTTCAGGCCTGACATAAATTATGTCGATGGCAACGTAGCCGAAATCGCTGTAGGTTTGGATTCTGTTCGCTGGCATAATCGGCTTACCGTTGCAATACCATTCGATCTAGCGAAGCAGATGGAGGGATTTTTCTCAAAATATTCAAAATTTTCCGGTATAATATAATCAACCTTCATGCTCGGATCATTTTGCGGCTCTATGCGAGTTTCAAAGTGAGCATTCTGCCCCTCAATAATCTTGTTTGTTCCTTTCAATGGACCCAAAAATTTCGGAGGAATCTGAGTGTAGGTAATGTCCTCCATGATTTGTCGTCCGTATTTGCTGATGGGGAAGAAAATGAATAACGAACGATGTTTTCAACGATGAAACGAAATTTCTCAGGTGAATGGAAATAATTTCAAAGAAGAAAAGTATGCCCACCTGGCATCTTCCAAGTATTGGATTTTCTCCAGGCCCACTGGATGTTGCGTTTCGCTCAAAATATCTTTTTTCGTCATCACTGACAACCTCGCTTCTGTCACTGCTTCACCGGCAGCGTTGGAGGCGCGGCACGTGTACAAGCCCATGTCATGTACAGCGATCGACTTAATCGTCAAGGCAACGTAGCCGAAGTTGAAGAAAGTCGTGATTCTCGAGCCTACGAAAATTTATGATGAGGAAATCAAGAACATGATGCATAATTCATTTTTAAAAGGGTAACACAAATAATTTCGAGAGCGAATATGTAAAAAACGCCAGACTTCCTTTAAAATAATGCACGTCTTAAACTTCATTGAGCATAAAAGTATTCAGCGAAGAACTCATTTCTGATAAGAAATAAACAAGTGTCCTTATGCATCAATAATGAAGTCTCGTTTTTATTGCCTTTCTTATGACATTAACATAGCAGCAAGCAATATTAAGACCTCTGCGTTATTTGCGAAAAGATAAAAGACTGCCGAGAAAATAATTTCCACATCTTATCTCACATTTTCTGTTTCAATTTCCAGCATTCTGCTTTGACGAAGGTCATGCTGAAGATTCAATATCACAAGTAGAAATAAATTGATTAATAATATTTTAAATATACGCATGTGTCAAACCATCACATATTTTAGGAATTTACAGGCTAAGACGTCATACATTTAAAGCCCCCAATTATTTTTATGTATTTATTATATTCTCATAAATACGGTATTTTACAGATTTCTTTTATTGCTCACTGGCTTCCATGGGCCGTCCGTCTTTGAACCATTGAACGGTCAAGCGAGGGTCACCGACGGGTTCCAATCGGGCTTCGAAATGAGCAACGCCACCTTCCGGGATATTCGGTTGGTCTTTCAGCTGAATTTTGAACACGGGAGCAAAAAATCGCTCCGCAATGTCCTCTTCCATTCTCTGGTGCTGGCTAGCCATTTGATACGCTTCCAGCTCTTCGATTTTCTCTATGTACCTCTGCTGTTCGGGGATGCCGAGCTCACTGACAACCCCGCCGCGTTCTTGAAAAAGAGAAGCGATGGTACGTGGAATTGTATGCATTGGCGGCAATTGATAAAGAAGAAAGTTCGACAGTCAACTTACCGACTACCTTCAGCGATGATTCACTGACAACGGAACCAGCTTTGTTTGAGGCACGAATCGTGTACGTGCCCGTGTCCTCCGGCCTCAAATGCATGATGTTCAACGCGATGTAACCGAAGTTGAAAATCGTGCTGATACGGGAGCCTGGAAAAGACAAGAAAGGACACCATCGACGTGAGTAGCAACAGTCAGTCGGGACTCGGGGCAATTTGCGTAATGAAGCAATAACTCACTCGCCGTGAGAGGCTTTCCATTGTGAAACCATTCCACTCTCATGTACGGGTCACTTACAGGCGTGATCTGGGCCTCGAAGTGAGCGTACGAACCTTCCAGCATGTCACCCAGGTTGCGCAGCGGCTTGATGAAAACGGGTTTGTGGCTGTGGGTTTCCTCTTCACTTTCCAAGCGTGTGTATCTGGAGTAATCCTCGAGCCTCTGGATTCCCTCCATGCTTTGAGGATGCTGGGTCGAGCTCTCAATCGTCACCCGTGCTGCATTCGAAAGATAATTGATCAATACCTGGTCCTCTCATTTTTTAAATTCTCATTATCCAGAACATACATTTCATACAGAGGAGTGAAACCCCATTCAGAGTCCAAAAATCATTACCCGATCAAAAAAGTATTAAAAGATAGTATGCTGAGTGTGTTGATATAATAGGGTGCGGTTAACGGACTACATGACTCGTGCTTCGACTGTTTTAGTCCTTTTGGGAGCATCCGTAGACGTAATTTTCAATGAGGAATACAGAACTTGATGATTCCCCGACCAATTAACAACCCATTTTCTCACTTGATTATATTCGCAAAGAAACCTGCGCGCTAAAAGTGTACATCCGCATCCAGAAATAAAATGTTACATGCCAAGCTCGTATGCTTCAGAAATTTCCAAGCAGTGTTGATGCCACTAAATAGTCCACAACACTTATTTTTAGACATAATATAAACGAGTCATATTTTCCCACACATTTTGTCTTAGTTATCCTGAATGTGAATGTTGTCTCCTTCCAACATAAAATTGGTGGGCAAGAAGTCACCCAAGCTAGGAATGAAGTTGAGGAAAATTTTCAACAATAAATCGACAGGAATTCATTTCAAGTTTTGTTCTTGATCCTAGCACAGCACTTTTGATCATTCTGGCTCACCCACTCAGACACCAAAAGATTAAATTTTAGGATAGTGACATGCATTTCATCCCTCCCTTGGATATGTCACACCAGCGGATACTCTTCAGATGTTTTGGTCTACAACTCTACATTAATTCACGTCGAGCAAGAGGAAAAATAAGGATAATTTGATGATCTGCTGGCTTTAAAAAATTTTAACAAATGAGTTGTAAAAGCGAATACTTGTACAATTCATCCATTGAGTTTATTTATTAGAATAATTAAAATAATGATTCGTGTTACGCGTTAAAAATTCAAATACTTACGAGAAACTTGCAGATTTGCACTAGATTCCGCGGTTGCCAGGTGATTTCGGGCTCTGCACGTGTAGACTCCATTGTCATTCGAAGTCACGGTTAAGATGTTCAAGGTAATATAACCAAATCTAAACGATGAGGTGATTCGGGAGCCTGAATAAAATATAATAGACGTGAAAAGCCAACCCCGAATAACCCGAAAATGAATAAAGAATCGCAGTCAACGTACTGGCTTCCAGTGGTTTCCCGTTGAAATACCACTCAACCTCCATCGTCGGGTCGCCAATGGGCGTGATTTTCCCTTCAAAAACAGCACGACCTCCTTCCTGAACCCCGGCGGAATCCTTCAGAGGGATTACAAATTTAGGCGGTTCGTGAGAAGTCGGCTCCTCTTCGAGCCTCTTTGTCTGAGGCCTAGCTCTTTCCACGTGACGTAGGAATATAATTTCCGGTTGCAATTCTGGCCTAAAAAATCAGAATCGCAATTTTAAAAATCGTAATTCCTTTTTACTCTATATGGATGAATCTTCATTTCCGGTATTTTCACCGAAGGATCTGAAAAAAAAACCATGGCACATGTTGCTTAAATGAGGGAAGGCTTACTCAGGCTCGATGATTCTCTGAGGCTTGGGCAAATTCAGTCTCCAGGGCGGTGACGCCGCAGGCCTGTCGACGCTCACCGAAACCTTCGCTCGAGTCGCAGTGGAACCAGCTGAATTTTGCGCCATGCATTGGTACCACGCGGAATCACTTGCGGTCGCCTGCGGGATTTCAAGCGTGGACGCTCCACCCTCCGTCTGGATAATGTGTGTGGGCGATGAGGCCAATGGGATTCCATCCTGTCCGTCATTACATATACGTGTTAACAGCCCTGGACTGATGAATGGGCGAATGATACCGACCTTCTGCCACGACAGCTTCGGAATCGGGGTGCCGATCGCGCGGCAGTGAAGAGTGATCGGTTCGCCTTCTTTCAAGTGAGTCGTGGTAAACCTCTCGACGAATTTCGGCGCCACGACGACTTCTTTCTCGATTACCGACAAGTTAAACTGGGTTGGGCATTCGGAAAAAAAATTATTTATCGAATCTATCGATGGATTTTCTCGTAGTAAGTGCGATCAAAAAGAAAAATAAGCTGACAGGTGACGTCGTACAGCAGCATCCGATGTTAAAACTGACGGAATCGGGAAAGCCAAATATGGGGTTGAGCAAATTTGAATCTACTCCGAAAGAAATGATTATCATCTTCCAGGAACTTGCAACGAACGTGAAACGCTCAGTAGACAGGATCGAGTTCGAGTAACATAAGATGGGGTACGGGAGAAAATACCATTGAAACGAAAATCCCACAATAATGAAAATAGCGCGATCATGGAATCATGCAATGACAGCCTTATTGATGGATTCCAAATTTTATGGAAAAAGGGGTAATTGTATTGCTGTAAAATACAAGATCAATATCGGAGATGAACTTATTTGAATTAATGCCTCTTTTTCGGTTCAATTTCAAATACCCCACCATCACTGGACAAAAAAATTGAACGATTCAATACTTGAAAAATAAGCAGTTAACAGTGCACATCCTACGAAAAAGAGAATAATATTTCTAATTTTTGATAAGGTACTGTATTTTTAATATTTTTTATTCTTAGTTTTGAAGATTTTATTCTTTATTCCCAGCTGGTGCTGCGCGGGATTTTCGTAAATGCGGGGTATTCCCTCCGATAGGTTTTCTCAGGGAGGCGCAAGAAGAAACAACCTTCAACGGACTTATTTAGTTGCTGCCAAAGATACACTCATTGATTGCGTCGGGTACCAGATCAAATGAATCACGTACTTCATATTTGGTCTGTCCGCTCTTGTTTTGAGCGACGCATGTGTACGTCCCGGTGTCAGTTCGGTGTGCAACAGTGATCATCAAAGAGTGACTGCCGGTCTCGTTAACGAGTATCTTGTGCGTCGCGTCGTCGGACAAGAGGCGCCCGTTATGGTACCATCCAACGTCGGGGTAGGGCCTTCCAGAGACCCTGATGTCGCATCTGACCAGCTTCCCTTCTGCGACTTCCTTATCCCCGCAGACAGCGGAGAACGTCGGCGCAAGGGCTTTAGATCCGTCCGTCTCGGTTTCAGCTACCGGACGGCTGCTGGAACAATCGGTAATTGTATTCCCGTTGCGTGGTCGGGGTATTTATTAATGCCTACCTCGGCGCCACTTGAGGCGGCGGTCGATAAATGGATTCATCATCCGTCCCAATCGCTTCCACTGCGAGATATGCTGAGTTAACGACTCGGCCTGCGAAGAAATACGGCGTTCAGAGAGCGTATGAGTCAGCAGATTTTGCACGTGCCGGAGAGTAGAAAGAGCGTGACACTCTGAACATCTGGCGATCGCCCACTCGAAAATTTATTGACAATCCCGAACATGGCTCTTCTCTTTCGTGCCGATTTCGAAATCGTTTTGACTTCAGTTTAAATACTGTACTTTCAAGAGGTACTTATTCAAGGAAAATTACAGGTGGACTCTCCATCTCTGGTATAAGACATTTTCCACAGTAATTTTATCCATAAAATACATTTCTTCTGGTCCTGGCAGACCGGCCATACAATTTTATTGGATAGGTTCATACGTTTTTCCTCCAATTTTGCATAATTTATTAAGCCCTGTTTGATGGAAAGCAATTTGTTTCAACTCGGAGAGCTAGAGGAACATTTATTCATTTCCAGACCAGTGCTCCAACTTTTCTTCAAACAATTTAAATTATATGAAAAGATTACATGCCACGAGTCGATACGCTCTTAGCTGGTTGACAGCTTCCAGAAAATATTTCAAATACTGTCCGATGGAAAAAAAACCCCATATTGAAGATCCTCAACCCATGTTCAAATGGAATCAGTGTTCTGGTCTTCGGGAATTTTAAAGGGCTTCTTTGAGAATTCAATGTATGAAAAAGACGTTGGCCACTTATTTTCTGCTTTAAAAAAAAAAACGCCTGGACAAACGAAGTCGTCTTGTTTCTTATCTAACTGACTTTGGAAATTCTTACTAAGATACTTGGGTGCCCCCTAAGTTTTCACGTCTCGTTACTGTAAAAGCATTTAAACCATATCTTGAATAAGCATTTCCTCCAAGTAAAAAAAATTAATTATTCATTTTTTGCCCCAAACTGTTCTTCCAGGCCAAGTGCAAATAATCAGTGATACTTTTCTGGGAAGATGTCAGCATTCCAGCAGCTAATTATTTCAAGTTCCAGGCACGAATAAAATCCGTTTTGCTATCATAAAAATTTCGCAAACCTGATTGATTTTCAGCTAGCATGGTATAGTGACCGGTATCTGTTGGCTGCGCTGATTGGATGTTAAGCGCGGCGATTTGGTTGTCGTAGGTCATCTTGTATCTCGGGGACGGGTTCAATCGCACGCCGTTTTTGAACCAGCTGAGACGCGGCTTCGGGTTGCCGCTAACTTTCGCTTGGAAAATCGCGTCAGAACCTTCCAACAACTTGGAAGACCTCGGACGTTGCACTATTTGCGGTGGACCGACTGCCATTCCTGGCACAGTGGCACCAAGAGGCTCCTCTGGCTCTCCGGGGAAGTGCTTCAGTTTCGCCTCGCGAAATTCCGTATCGCGAACCAGTCGATACTCGAAAGTGTCAACTTTGAATTCCTGTCAGTCAAGAATCAGAGAGTTCAATTTCTCTGACATTCATCAGCAGGGATAAGTATGAACCGCACCTCTTCAATTGTCGTTCCGTTCGTGTACACAGATTCCTGCAGCGTTGACCTCTGCACCATGTTCTGAGTCTTCGAGACTTGTTGCTGATCTTTCTGCAGCCATTGTCTATACTGGGCTGTTTGTTGAAATGAGATAATCTTTTGAAGAATTTTTGCCGACCCAAGCATGCATTAAACCCACCTTCTGGTTGAATGTAAACTGTGCACACAGCCTCCCCGTAAGGGTTGGTAGCCGTGCAAGTGTACTCGCCTTCGTCTCCGGGACCAATCAATGAAATTACGAGAGTCACCTTTCCTGTGCTCTCATCGTGAGTCATACTGTACTTGCTCGAATCTACATCAATTGTTTGTAAAACGTTGATTGAAAATAAAATGTTGGTTTTATCGCAAGCATGAGGAACATTACGAGACCGAGAGAAACTTTTAAAAGAGACCTTCGTTTAAATTCTCCTTGGGATCTTGAGAAAGGTTTTAACAAAGAATCTCATCCGGCAGGGGAGTGAAGTCCCTGCTGGGCTCGAAGCCAACTCGCGCCCCGCATGTGGCAAGTGATCAACAATTCAGACTTCTAGAATTATTTTTTTTTGTGCTCAAGTTATGAATCCGGAAGTGACTCTGAGAACCCGTTCACACATAGGACAGAAATAGTCGCCTGCCGTTTATCGCTTACTTTGTAGAGGAGCGCCTCGGCGTGTCCATGAAACTTTGGGACGCGGGTTTCCAGAGACCCGGCCCTCGAAAACCGCATTGCCACCTTGAGCGAATCTCGCGTTCTTAAAAATCTGCTCGAAAATCGGCGGTGAACCGCTCGTCAACCTGCCCAATCTAGCAAAAATAAAAATAGAGAAGACGAATTGCATTCTGTTAAGTGGCTGATTACAGATCCAAATGCCATTGATTACCTTCCGGGCCGCATTCGCTTAATGGACAGATTTAATAGTTCGAGCTTTTTAACAAAACATGAGGAGGCGGTTAATTTAATTCATCAGAAATTTTATGCTGTATAGTACAGTATATTCAAATAAGCTAAATTGAATATTTTTGTCTCTTTCAATTTAACCATGGTACAAAATCACCCTGTGAAAGAATAATTTCGAATGAGAATCGGATCAAAATATTTCGCTCACTGTTGCATGGGTACAGGCGACATCGGCGTTTGGACGGAGTAAGTTTGACCTGAAAAACAGAAAAAAAGAGACTTAATTAACTTTGCTGTTGGTTTCTTTTGCATGAAACATGCCAGCCGTAAATAATCTATTAACGGCGTAGTCTAGTCATACTGAAGAGTCCTGCTGTGACCTGGCATATGGATTGGGTGCATGCATTTTCCTTTGCTCGGATGATCAAACGTTAAAGCAATCTAACATCCCCAATGATCGAAGAAATAACTGATCAATGATGACACAGGATAGATTATTCAATGATGATATGTATTGATAGTCATTTCCTGAACTTCCAAAAATCTTGGTTATCATTCTATGCAAATCTCCGGATTCCCGAGGCACTTTTATTGCAATTCGTCATATTTGTATTTTTCATTTTTTATAAGATCATGCATTTTCAATTCTGATTTTGTATTCGCTTCCTGAATCTAACAAGATCAATGAGCTTGTTATTTATATCTTAATTTCGTATAAATAGCTGCAAAAAATCCAAGCCAAGAGAAATGAGCGGTTTGAATTGAAGTTTTACGCGTAGTTTGATTTTCTCAGACTGACTTAATATTACGGCATGTGGATTAAATACCGGATTATCGAGTGTGTACTGTTTTCAAAACCGATTATCGAAAGCATTGGGGTAAACATGGCCTGGCAGCGAGAGAGGTGAACAGTGTTCATCTCGACAGCGAAACATTCCCGGCTCCGTCACTGGAAAAACAGGAAGTTGGCAGGCACTGAAGGAAGTAGCTCCGTTTATATTTAGGTCAGACGAAGAACAACCGGGCGAAGACGAAAATTTCGACAGCATTAGCCGCCAGAAAATCGGTGCATTCCACGGCCACGTTCTCCTACCGCCGGAAACAATGCTTTCATGCAAAATTCCTCTCTTTTTCTCGTCATCGGAACAAGTCCGGTAATTTTTTTTTTCAAGCGACAAGGGATTCTCGAATTATTGGGAGAAATGTTCCATGGACCGCAACTAACTCGGTGTCGAAAAAATGCAGCCGCGGAAGGAGTACTGTATTCCGTTTTCTGCGTGCCTGAGTCAGCACGTAATCTTCACAAGGATGCAGAACATTTCCGGATAGGAAAGAAGCAACCTTCCCAAGTTCACGTTTTGACGCATGCTGTAAAAATTAAATTTTTTTCGGCGCTTAATCTGCCCGGGACTGCGTGCCTGTTTCTGGACCGCTGCCAGAAATTCCTTCCCACGTCTGAATCCCACGACGTCTTCAAGCACTCCAGTGTAAAGCTAATAGCTCACAAATATTTAATCATCCATTGCAATCGGTTCCACCCTCGCAGAGAACGGCCACAATCAAAATCAGCTGCCCGACTTTCACGTCCCGGGATACGCTAACTAAACGGTCATTGAGAGAGAGGAAGAATACCTGTTCGAATGCAGGAAGACAATTATACGGCGTTTCTCATCTACACAAGAACGATGGCGAGAGCGCCCCGAAAATTACTGCATCTTCCCTGGGTGTCGTCAAAAAAGAAATTTTAAGCTGGAGAGTCAAAAATTCTTCTCTGTTCCTCCGAAGAAAATTTGTATTCGGGTGCAGTATGCGGTAATGGATTCGCAGGTGGAAGGAATACCAGGAGATAAATCAAGTCCAGAAGTAGGAAATATAGTTGAAGGTTCATCACAACATGAATTGTTTATTACTCCAGCGAAAGCAAGGTCTTTTCATGCTTGATTGCTGATGAGCGAAAAAAACCCTGCTCACAGCAGCCTAGTTTATTTAAAAGATAGAATATTCCGAGAGTGGGTAAGCCATTAGAAATTCTAGATCACGGAAACTGTAGTAAAGAATATATTCTGTTATCCGTATTAATGCCTTTAACAAAAATGAATACAAATTTGATGCCTTACAGAAAAAACTATTTTCTTGCGAATGAAAGATTATTCAGAAGATGAAAAATATTTAAAATAGACCGGACGTAACACTACTGGAATGTTTGCAAATACTGTACATTGATGAGCACTATTTAAAAAGCATCAGAGGAAAAAAGAGCTCCGTCAAAAAATAAACACAGGACGTTACATTTTCTACCAGTGAATTAACATTTTGGGCACGATTCATCGGATACCGGATAATAACAGTTCCGCGGTAACTGTTTTTCATGGAAATATTACGCACGGTAAGCGCTTTTATTGTTTTTGGAAAACATCTACTGCAGCTGAAATATTTTTACCTTGCTTTCTTTGCATCTACAGCAAAATAACATGAGTGCGCGGGGAAAAACTAAGCATCACTAGTTGATCTCCGTCAAAAACTGTTATATTAGGAATCATAATCCTGATATATACTAGGTTAAATAATGACATAATGCAAATGCTTTCGACAGAGGAGACATTTGTGAAACTGCATTCTTTCAACATTGAAACTCAATGAGTTTACTCAAGAAAAAAGTTTAATCGAGTTCGAGAAAACAACTATTTTGTGGAGGATAACTTCGTTAAAATCTTAGGACAGGCTTTTAACTCGGCAAGAAAATGTAATGCGACCACCAGCGCTTAAGTTAGCCCTTTTAACCTTGCTCTCCCACGCTCTTGCTATCGTTTCCCATGCTCTCTGTGTGTACCCAGTACTGTCTCAAATGACTAGCAAGTCGATCGATCCGCCGGCATCGTCGAGGTGGTCACTGCGACGCGCTGTGGATTTATCGCCGTAAATCTACAAGCGGGCCATGTTTTTGGAAAATGTAAGGTCAGGCGGGGAAATGAATGAATATCAGATGGATGCGGCCCGAGAGAAAAATACTGTTAAGGGCACGAAGATGAATGCAGCTCAAGAACACGGAGTCACACCGCGGATTACCGTATATTCCCTCGGAGGGAGGCGGATAGTCGGTGGGAGAGGGAAGAACGCGACGCCGAGGTCGAGAAAAACAACACCGGCGCACGTAACAAGCTCGCTGCGGATTCCGGTCACGTCGGAAGAGCATTTATCCCGAGGCGGCTGGTGCATGCACTTGCAACGAAGTTCATCCGGATCCGCGAGGGAGAAAAATCAGTTCATCCCCTGAGCGCGTTAATGGACTTCTTTGTCCAACAGTGTCCGCGTCGGCGCAATATGCTGCTCCAAAATATCCACGTTTACACCCTGCTCTAATTACTAACACGGCTTTTCGTGGTTGCGCGTGGCTCCTGCGTCGCGTCAGAGCAGTAGAAGGGAAAAAAATTAATTGTCAACCCCCGTGGGTGACGCGCGAGGTCTGAATGATGAGCCCTCAGAAACTGTCTCTGCCCCGAGCCAGCGACGGCAACGATAGCCCGCGGTGATAAATGAATCAAGAGGAAGCCCGGTACTTGTGAGCAGGAGAAGATGATGGAAAAAAGATGTAAAAAGAAGTACAAATCACGGGGTCTCGGATTCTGAATTGAACCTTGACCAGACTTCGTTGCGCAACGGGGTTCTCGGCCACGCGTCACATCGCGCCGCTCTTGGACTAGTTCAAGCGTTCAATAACAAGCCTTTCCCAAGCTCAGCACTTCTTTCCTACCCATTTGTTAATTCTGTGCTTTACTTCTCCGGCATTCCTTAAGTATTCCGGAAACCAGGACAGATCACACTTGGATACCAGGGTGAAATTGGGAGACTCTCCAGGTACTGGACCCTGATCAACTCCAACGCATTGGGGGTTTTATTTTTCCGAAATCTAGGCTGCTGGTAAACGACTAGAGAAATATTCGCTAAGAATTAATGTTCTTTAGGAAAAATCGCAAAATATAGCTTCCATTAAACGAGGTATACTTATTAATTGTGATTCAATGAGACTGAATATTGGCTCTTTGAATTCATTTTTGTCAATACGGCACTGTACTGCATTTATCCAGGGCGCGGGATTTTATAATCTGAGCGAATCCCTCTTTCAAATCTGAGTGAATGATAGTACTGTACTGTATTGTTTTGTCATGGCATAGTGGAATAACCTTTTTTTAAATGTTGATCTTTTTTAAAGGGTACGTGAAACAGTTTTTTTAGGGCTTGTCAACGCCCATGCTCGCAGCAGCGTGACCTTGGTGAAACAGGCTGGAAAGGGCAAGAGAAATGGTGAAGTTCAGGTATGATGAGATGCCTTCATCATCGATTCGACACTTTGCATAATAAGCACTCCACAGACACCTTCTAACCGTCTACATCCAGTGACCGAAAAGTCCCCTGTTCGAATCCTTGACCGCTCTGAAACGTGCCACGCAGTGCTCCCGGGCAGTGAACAGCGGGACGAAGAGAAAGAGTGCAGAAAGGCTTGAAAAGAATTAGAATACAGCTATTGTCCGGACAGTGTTGAGGTAGAAACATTTATTATTCTCCCTTACTGACCCGAGACGGCGCCGTGCGAAGATGAGCAAGCATTACGTGTCACACTAGCTGACCCAGAGCACCGAACAATCGCGTCAGAAGTTTTCACACCGTGTCCGGAGATCGTGTGAGGCGACAGCGAAGGTCGGGTGTGTGAGTCATGCATTCGCCCGGCCTTCGACGGGTTCTCTCTTTTTCTCTCTTACTCTCTTGAAGTGGCTCCGACGGGTCTCGAGAGCCTCGTCATCATTCATGTTCACACCAGTGAAAATTAAGGTCTACGGTATATATTCTTAGCCGGTGCTCCGCGGAGCCCTCATGGCCCCACTACTTTACGAGTAATTTAAAAATTGAAGGAATGGATTATTAAGAAATTTATGTAGAGTGGTGCGACATACGCGCATGGAAAGAGAAATAATGAACAAAGACTAGAACTGTACCAAAAA